TTGTTCTACACCTTTTAATTTTCTAACTCTTCTCTAGAGTCATTATTAAAAGAATTAATAAATACTAGTGTACATGTTGCTCGAATTCGAGCAATTGCAAATATTACAGAAGATATTTCAAAACGAATAACAGTCATATTTACAACGAATTTAAAAGAGTCAACTCAAAGATTACCGGTGTGTAACTCAGACTATGTTTATCTTCGTTATTGATAAACCTAAAGCATTCGGGCCGGTTTTCTCCTTCTCAAAATGCCTCGCTGTACAGGCAACACAGGTCATTTATAGAGGGCCAATTGAGAACGAAAAGTCGTTTTGGGGTAGTGTTAGGGGGCATTTGTAACCTAATAGTTGAGATTGTCCAGGGTCAGGTGCTGACTGTGATGAGTTAAGCCTAATACTCGCCACTGTTCTGTGAGCTGCGGTCGTTATCACGATTACGCCTCTGTCTATATGTGTTGTTGTCGTCACGTCGGAGGCATATAAAAGAAAAAAAACAACAAATAAACAAATGATAGCTACACAAAACAACGATAAATGTTACAATCGTGCTAACACGATCCGTCATAGCTACACAAAACAACGATAAATAAATACACAAATTTAAGATACTGTACAACCATACTAACAAAATCCGTCTTGGAGGTTATGTTTACACAAACTCAAATAGTAAATAAATGTACTCGATGGGTTTCATTGAATTGAAAAATAAATAACAGCAATTAAATTAAACAGCTGACCAAAATGTAAACAATTATGTTCTTCATAAGGATAACATGGGAACTTTCAAAGCCACTGGGGCAGAGCCCAAGGGACTTTTTCAAAAATGTAAGGCCAGTTTGCAAATCTACGCGACACGCTCTTTCCAATGAAATGTCAATGGATAAAATCGGTTAAGAAATGGCGGAGGAGTTCAACCAACAAAGTTTCATGTAGCGTATTAATTATATAGATTTTCGTAATGAGTGACATTTCCTACCTGTAGGCTAAACGAAACGTGATACGTATATCTATACAATTAATACGCGAACACGAAGTTTGTCGGTTGAACTCCTCCGTCATTTCTTAACCGATTTTATCCATTGACGTATCATTGGAAAGAGCGTGTCGCGTAGATTTGCAAACTGGCCTTGAACTGGATTTGAAAAAGTCCCTTGGGCTCTACCCCAGTGGCTTTGAAGGTTCCCATGTTATCCTTATGAAGATCATAATTGTTTAAATTTTGATCAGCTGTATAATTTAATTGCTGTCAATATTTAAACTGCATTTCAAAGAAAACCGTCCTACAAAAATTAAATCTTTGAAAAATAAATCATTGAAAGAACCCATTTGCAAATTATTGAAACATTAAAAGTCATAGAACGCCCCCTAGTAGAAGAAATAGAGATAATATTTTTTTAAAGAATTAACTATCTTTATTAGCCTGTATAATGAAGAACACCTACAAGATTCAGATTCCTACAAACTATGAACGAGGATGTTAGCCGAAGTGCTACAAATTTTATTAGGAAACATGGACTTAACTTTGTGATCATTGCAGAGGAAAGCCCTCTAAAGCCAAATAAATCTGGAACGTCAATGTCATTAATCCATGTTTTCATAAAAGTCAAGCAATTTTAATAATAGCCTATGAAAATATCCAAGAGCCCCTTACCTGAAGGCTTTTAATTATTATTCATATAATGCTAAGGGAAACAAAAATCATCTGAACAACAGAAGGTCTTTAACTTTGCATTTTCTCAGGTAAATATAATTAACGTTATTGCAACTAAACAAAAAATACACCAATTGAACAAATAAAATTGTGACAGACAATTTGATGAAAAATAAGTACGAAAACGAATTTAACACAAACAAAAAACTAACATTTGAATTATGAGTTAAAATTCTGGTGACGCAATAACAACGATAAATATACAGAAAATCAAAACAAATTGAAGACTGGTACACAATCATCACATGTTTGATTTTCAGCGTGGGATGAATATAGATAAGTTTATATTTTATTTGGATTGTGGTCGAGTTTTGACCACTGGACGACATCAATTCTTATATTAAAGTACTTAACTCATTAAGGTACTTCAATAATACCTAAATGATAAATGCCTTATATTTAACTCAAATAAAACAATCTGGTATTAGGTATAGATGTATTTACTCAAAAACCTATTTCTATGATAATTTAGTCTCGAAATCCAAATGTTTAGACCTATCTATAGATTATATCCGCTTGTTTGGATCATACAAATCTAGATAGTATTTTTAAAATTTTAAATATGGTATTTTTTTATTAAACCCATTATGCACTACAGACATTTTGCGTACAATTTACTTTGCTAACATACACTCTCATATTTGTTACGGAATAAAGATTTATGAGGGAACAAGTAATTGTAACTATAATCAAATTTTATATTTACAAATGAATGCTACAAGATGAAACCTTAACCTGGATTAATACTGTTTAAATTTTTTCCGAAAATAGGAGATGAAAAATAGTGGAAAAAAAGGCACTACAACTTATTTGCGTTGTGCACCACGAATATTATGTAGAAAAAATTTCGAAATTTCGTACATACAGCTGAAGAAGTTAAGACTAAATATTTTTCATAGTTTAGAAATTTTAAAACGTGAACTAATACTGTATTTCCTTAATATTGTTGTTGGAAGACGGCAATTGCTAAAATACTGTGCGCGTAAACTAATTCATTCATACCTCGTGGTGGTCATCTAAGTCGATTATTGGACAAACTAAAAGTCTTACGAAAAAATGTTTGGAACAAAAATTGAAGAACATCTTATTATCTATACTTTTCTCGCTGAAAGTTTTCATCTGACCAAAAAATAAAAAAAATCCTCGCTCACTTACTTTTTCATGTTTACATTGAACAACCTTTTCATATTTTCCATTATTAAACATTAATCATCTGCACAAACTAAATTGTATTTATATAGTATTAAACATCAGTTTACGCAGAATTTAAATATGTAAATTTCATCCTCTCACTATTTGTATTACAATTTAGACGAACGTGCAAAGCGACAGGGAACGCACCACTTCGAATAATCCCGCCAACATCGGAAACTCTCTTCCAGCATGTGTGTGTGTAATGGGTGCGTGTGTGTGCGTACGTTATCGCTTCCTGCACGGACTGTACCCATTGTCACTTGGAGTTATGAAACTTGGTGTTATGAACCCTTGGAGTTATGAAACTTGGACTTGTGGTCCTTGCAAATCTGTACGTTTGGAGTTATGAAATTTTGTATTTTAATTTACTTGGTTTTATTTTAACTTGGACTTATGAATCTTGGAGTTATGAACGCTTGGAGTTATGAAACTTGGTCTTATGATATTTTGGTTTTAATTTACTTGGACATAATTTTACTTGGAGTTATGAAATGTTGTATTTAAAAGTACTTGGAGTTATGAAAACTTGGAGTTATGAACCTCACCCTTTAATTCATTGTAGTTTAATGACTTGGTCTCACTCTGTTATAAAAGCCCATAGCCAACCTCATAAATAATCCTTCAGTTTGTTAGTTCCTGCATCAGCAACTTAACTAGCAACAATATTTATTTTGTACTTTAAATAAATATGAATAGATTTTTAACAGGCTTAAGTAGCTGGAATAGATCGGTTAACGTTCATCCTTTTTTTCAAATCTTATTTGATCAGAAACAATACTTAATGTATGCTATTAAGCAATAAGAAATAAAAAAATTGCTCAAACATTAACATTTATTGGTTTTGTAGTAGAAAATGTTGACATTGGTCTTGAGGATTTTAAACAATATACACAGATTGGGCACTTGTACCAGTTTTCCCCATACTAGATAAAAGTAAAACTATTCTATTTTAAAAGGCAACTAATATGAAAAATTACTTCATCAGAAGGTATGAAGTTACTGGGGCCTTGCAGTGCTTTATAGTTTGGTACTGATACTCTCATTAAAAAAATACATTTTAAGCTAAATTCGCATTTAAATTTGACTAAGATGATGACTGAAATCTTACCATAAGACTCATCCTCTTAACACGTTGACTGCGCGCGCCGACTTTACAGGCGCTCCCCAGTGGCGGGCGAAGCCCCGGCGCGCAACCGAATCAGCGAACGCAATTGGCATTCAAATATTTCAGTCTGACGAATCACAAAAGAGCAGTGGTGACTGTGCTGCGTTACCCCGAGAGTGGATGTAGTTCACTGAAACACCCAAAGGTAGCAGCACTGCACGGATCCGTATCCAGTGTCTTTGTAATGTGGGTTGAAGAGAAAAAATCCCCGAAACCGGGACAAAAGCATTGCCAGACAGGATTTTTCGGGAAATTTTAGTACCAACCTACACCAAAGTAAAGCTCGCATTCTAAGCTGGCAGGCTGGCAACGATTATAACGTCTCCGTCTGAGGCTAAGCTCACACTGACTCAATATATTTCTGTTGGTCTGGTGCCGCCTTTAGTCGGCGCGCGCCACCTGGGAGCGCTGGCGACGCCGACTAAAGTCGGCACGCGCAGTCAACGTGTTAATACAACACTGTTGTATAGGTTTGTTATACTCTCATGTTAGTAATAAAATTGCATTGTGACAAAACTATCTTGTAATAAGCCTAAAGAATATGGGGTGGATAAAGATTGGAAATTAGAATGGGGGATGGTTTGGGTTTGGGAACGGAATCTCAAACTTTGCAGCACAATAATAGTGACTTAATAATTGCTATTTTACACCTTTTACTGGAGAATTGGATGGATTACGAGTAAGAAATTAGGGAAGACTTGGAAAGGTACTTCTAAAGAACATCACAATGTGGGCCCACTTAAACATATCAACCAATAAACAAGGAAATGTGGTCCTCCGTATTCAATCCTCCTGGAACCACCTCAGTTTATGTGCTATTTTGCAGGATTTCCTGCTACAGCCCCAAAAGAGGAAGAGGTTCTTCTGTTTGGATGGATGCTGATCACACTAGACTTAATATAATTTATTTCAGTTGGTAGGACAGTATAGGACATTGAAATTGCTCCATTTATTGCTTGCCTCTCATCCATTTAATGAACAAGAAGAAAAACATTGCGTCTACTAAACAAATAGATGTAATCAATATTGTCCGAGACCTGGTAACAAACCAACATGTTAAGTCATCATTAACAATATATTTTACTTGATCTTTAACGGTTAAGTATGGTTAAAAATATAGAATAATAATAATAGAAACAATATAAACACTAGTTCTAAATACTCATATTGGAATGATAAGGCACGGGCTGTACGGCAGGTTTTGTAGGTACCGGTATTTTTCTTCATGCAGTTTCACTGCTGTGTTGTTGAAGTTTCAAGGCAACTGCTGCTGCTATTGCGGCCCCCTTGCCACTGCCATCATCTGCTTCTATGAAGTTGCACTGAAACATGGAATTTGGAATTTTCAAAATACAAAGACCATTTATAGTGTTTTATATTGAATATACTTTACACTTTCTTAGAAAAGTGACATGACTGTTCCCTTTAAAAACATAAAATTGTCACTGGCATAAAAACACACAAAATATAATAAAAAAATGTATACCGGTAGTAGTTTTTTCAAAGACAACCACTGACAATCGATACTAAGTAAATTTTTAGAAAGATTTAGTTAAAAAAGAAACTATTGAAAGCTGAATATATTGGAACTTAATATGCCTTTTAATTGTTTTAATTGTTTTCTCCTCTTACTTCGATCATCAAGCAGTTAGGTATAGATGAATTAATTGGGGAATCGAAACTATTAAAAAAATTCAGGGGCATGGATTAAAAATGTAAAAATTTGGTTTACTTTACACAAATAAGATAAAAAGTATTGCAAAAAATCACTTATTTGAAAGCTAAGTTTAAATAGATCTAATAAATCTGGAGCAGTTAAACAACTAAGGCCGATTTGGAAACTCAGTCAACATTTTGAGAGTTGAATTTACCACAGTGATTAAATATTGGAAATTTTTTGAAGGTCAGTAAACAATCAGAGCCATTACAAACCTTGTGGTCAGGTGCCCTTATAGACACAAAGTCATTCATCCACAGCCTGATGCGAGGATGATATTTGTGAAAGCTTCCATCAGTAAACAATCAGAGCCATTACAAACCTTGTGGTCAGGTGCCATTATAGACACAAAGTCATTCATCCACAGCCTGATGCGAGGATGATATTTGTGAAAGCTTCCATCAGTAAACAATCAGAGCCATTACAAACCTTGTGGTCAGGTGCCATTATAGACACAAAGTCATTCATCCACAGCCTGATGCGAGGATGATATTTGTGAAAGCTTCCATCAGTAAACAATCAGAGCCATTACAAACCTTGTGGTCAGGTGCCCTTATAGACACAAAGTCATTCATCCACAGCCTGATGCGAGGATGATATTTGTGAAAGCTTCCATCAGTAAACAATCAGAGCCATTACAAACCTTGTGGTCAGGTGCCATTATAGACACAAAGTCATTCATCCACGGCCTGATGCGAGGATGATATTTGTGAAAGCTTCCATCAGTAAACAATCAGAGCCATTACAAACCTTGTGGTCAGGTGCCCTTATAGACACAAAGTCATTCATCCACAGCCTGATGCGAGGGAGATATTTGTGAAAGCTTCCATCAGTAAACAATCAGAGCCATTACAAACCTTGTGGTCAGGTGCCATTATAGACACAAAGTCATTCATCCACAGCCTGATGTGAGGGAGATATTTGTGAAAGCTTCCATCAGTAAACAATCAGAGCCATTACAAACCTTGTGGTCAGGTGCCATTATAGACACAAAGTCATTCATCCACAGCCTGATGCGAGGATGATATTTGTGAAAGCTTCCATCAGTAAACAATCAGAGCCATTACAAACCTTGTGGTCAGGTGCCATTATAGACACAAAGTCATTCATCCACAGCCTGATGCGAGGATGATATTTGTGAAAGCTTCCATCAGTAAACAATCAGAGCCATTACAAACCTTGTGGTCAGGTGCCATTATAGACACAAAGTCATTCATCCACAGCCTGATGCGAGGATGATATTTGTGAAAGCTTCCATCAGTAAACAATCAGAGCCATTACAAACCTTGTGGTCAGGTGCCATTATAGACACAAAGTCATTCTACCACAGCCTGATGCGAGGATGATATTTGTGAAAGCTTCCATCAGTAAACAATCAGAGCCATTACAAACCTTGTGGTCAGGTGCCATTATAGACACAAAGTCATTCATCCACAGCCTGATGCGAGGATGATATTTGTGAAAGCTTCCATCAGTAAACAATCAGAGCCATTACAAACCTTGTGGTCAGGTGCCATTATAGACACAAAGTCATTCATCCACAGCCTGATGCGAGGATGATATTTGTGAAAGCTTCCATCAGTAAACAATCAGAGCCATTACAAACCTTGTGGTCAGGTGCCATTATAGACACAAAGTCATTCATCCACAGCCTGATGCGAGGATGATATTTGTAAAAGCTTCCATCCACAGCTACAGTGTTCTTGGGCTTATTCATGTATTTCAAAACCTCTGCACAACCTACAACATAACCAATCATGTAAAATATTAAGCTCCACTGTACCGGTACTTCCTACTTAGATTGTTCACAATTTGGAGTTTCTTGCATGCTCTAAAACACTCACTAAAAATGGCCACAGTTCCTTAGATAACCTGGGATATCCTTATTGTTTTCTTAGAAATTTAAAATTAAAATAAAAGTTGAAGGAAACGTACAAAATTAAAGATCAATTCAAAGTTTACATCTGAAAAAAAAACCAATATTTTCTAATGATATATTGAATTGTATAAATGTAGATATTTATTGTTATTCATCCGATAATATATTACAGGTTCTCTATGAAACTGCACCTCTTTTTATTAAATCACTAAAACTTAGGCTTCTTACAGATCGAAATCAGAAGTGCAGCTCTTTTTGAAACCATTTCACAGAGATATTTCAAAACTGCAACATCATCTTGTGAATAACTTTGGTCATAGTTCTTCAGTATTTCTTCTGTTCTTGTTGTTACTTTTTCCATTGAATCTCTGCACAAAGAAAACACGTAATTAGTGTGTCTCATGCCAACAGCTCATCCTTCCATAGGAAATTTGATTAGTTTATGAGTAATCTAGATTATAAAAATCTTATACCCACGACTGTTTTTTAAAGTAGCCGTTTCAGTTCAGTTCTTAGAATTGAAAATTTTCCCATAACAGCATTGTTTACTTTTATAGCGGCATAGTTTTACTCATAATAACACGGGAAACGGACCAATAAGGTTCAAGGATTGAGAGAGAAGAAGTAAATTTGTAATGATTCGAACTTCAACTAATCAGCTGTTCAGGCCAATTCAATTGTTGAGTGATGAAATTAGTGTTTGGTACGATGTTTTGTTGCATCACTGTCACTGGCAATGAGAGGTTATAAACAAAAACATAACCTCTCTTAGAAGTTATGAGTAGTGATTTTTAGTAATTAAATCACTGTTGTAGGTAAAGTAGTGTACGCAACTCGCATGGATAGTGTTAACGACACGAGTAGAAAATTTAAGGTACAAGCCTTCTATTACGTGACACATTTTACTGATAAAAGGATGGATTAAGACCTTGTCTATTTTCATTGTTTAAGAGGTAATTGTTACTTCAGAGAGCTTTTTCATTATTTTGATAAAAAAACTTAGGAACACACATTTTTTTTACAAACGGTTTAGTAACTAATGGAAAAACTAGTAAACAAACATATAGTAAATAGATGCTGATATTTTAGAGACTTTACCAACAAGAAAAAAACTTACTTTTCAACTTCAGTTATAAAGGATGAAGGGAATGAGTCTTCATTCAACAATTTTGAGGTAATTGTTCCTTCAAATATCAAGCCAGAGTTTGCTAAATCCACCAAAGCATATCTCACTAACTCCCCCAAGAATCCACCTCCAGTGAATTTCTCAAACCTAAAATCAAGTAACATACGGTCCATTTAATAATGAAATGAACATAAGTACACAGTTATTTAGATTAAGAAAAACTTCAACATTTTCTTCATGCTTGTGTCTATGGAATCAAGCAATTTGGTGGAACATTTGGTAAAAGGTTTTGTTTTATATCACTTTAATAATCTTAGGTTGAACTTATGTTTGTATTTAAAACAAACATAAGCGCTTGCTGTGGACATGTGGCGTACAAAACACGTGGGGGTTCATGTGCTGGGAAATGTGCTAAACTGTTTTCAACTTCAACCATTCTAATATGGCGGGCTATCGTACCTAGAAAGTAGCTACTAATAAAACAACTCATTTGAAAATTCATTATTAACTAAAACTATCATTAACCCTCCGAGTGTCACGCGTCATAAAAACGACGCACAACACACTTTGTGTAGGGTCACGCGTCGCTTTTAAGACGCACAAACATCGTTTACGGCGAAGGCTCTATGACTGACTGAATCGGATTGAACTGGATCGAGTTAGGTATCGTTCTTTCCGTAATATTCTAAGCTTTCTCAAGAGGTCTGTCTCTAAGCGCTAGTCATTTTAGTTCCGAAAATATTGTAGCAGACAGCTGACGTGCGTGTATTTGTAAACAGCTAGGTTCCCCCGGACCGATGACTGATGTGTTTTATTACGTTTATCATTGTTTTAGTGTTAAAAATCAAAAGTAGTGATATACGTGGTGCATTATAAGAAGATTTAAGTGGTTTTGAAGTGCTGGTTGATGATCCTGAAGAAGTAGGTAGTGATATTGATGTAAATTATCAGCCAGATTCCTAGCTATGGTTAGGCTATGCATTCTTAGCTAAACGCTATGTACTGAAATACGTTTTTCGCTCATAACTTATTTATTTGATAACTTACCTCGCTATATGATTATATATTTGTAATCCTCATTAAATTTAGAACAAAGTGGCTATTTTCAAATATTTATAGGCCTATAATTTATACAATTTCATTGAGCGCGAACTTATTTTTTTTTTGAAAATTTTCGAAATTATATTTTTTTTTACCTAAAAATTTTTTTTTTGAAAAAATGTTCCTTATGTTTTATATATAATATTGAAGCCCATGATTTTCCAAACAAAATGGTATATAGAACATTAGAATTAACATTGTTTTAAGCTTCTCAGATCCGTTTTAATAAAACCTTGCAAAGGGGCCAAAAATAGGTGGACATTAAGGCCTAAACTATGGACACTCGGAGGGTTAACAATAAATTTCATCACTAAAGCTCAACCTGAGCTCAAGTTTTCTGATCGAGGCAAAACCGAGGTTGGAAATTGAGCGAGGGTTGAAAAGACACTTTTTGCCCATGTGATGAACTATATTTTAGTCATATTACCGTATTATTTAAACAAACTATGATACAAAACTAAAAAAGTTTTCATTGATTCAACCGTTTCGTCTAATACGATTGTGTTAGTGAACATTAACATCATACTATCGATTGTCGAACTATGTACAATAAGGCAACAATAAGCTACAATCGATTAAGCAATCGATACATACTTTCGACACATGCAATTGTTTACAATCGAAATTTACAACCAAGTTGACAACAGCTGATTTTTACTCCCTAGGGGATAAAAACAATTCTTACTCCCTAGAGAGTAAAAATGCTACTGTAGACCCGCAACACATGCATTAAAAACGGCTGTTTTTGCTGCAGTATGACGAAAAAATGTATTTATTTGACTTGAGAAAAGATACTTACACACAAATATTTTTGACAACAGAATTTTGGTCTACTTGTTCGTCATAAGGGGTTTTGACAAAGTCTAACAGTCCTGTGTCAGCAATGCAGCCCCACTCTGTGTTGACAGCTACCTAGAATCAGCACAAGGAAGGTCCATCAGTGGTGCTTAGGGGAGCATAAAGGTGGCTGAGGTTTAAGGTATAATGGTAGGCGAGATGGCCTCTGATGTGGGCAGGTTAACACAATTGGTGTGTATTGATCACCTTAAGGCCAATAAATGTTTTAATGTATTTTATAAGGACAAAGAATAACTCAGGCACAGCCAACCTAAAAAAACTTTTTAAAAGAACAAAAAAACAAATTTTTCCTGTAAAATTAAGAAGTTGTTCAACATATATAGAGAAATTACAACTGATTTTTAAAGACAGAGAGGCAGAATTTATATTTTAAAGAAAAATGGAGTTCAAAGTATATTGTAAAACATATTCTCTATTACAGACAAATAGAGAATAAAAATAATAACTATTAAAATTTAATAATGCTCAGAGACAGTCTAGTTGAATAATTTGCAAATAAAACCAAAAGTTTCTTGACCACCGGTATGATTTTAAAGATTTTTTATGTTGGGTGAATTGATAATCTGTCAGTGCTCCTTTACAAAATAAACTAGCAGAGTACCCGTCCTTCGTACGGGGTTGGTGTATAAGTATAAAATGCTTATTGCAGTTATACTTGTGCTCTGCGTTTGCTATGTGGGAGGAGAAAATTTGGTTCAATAAATTTACGGCATGCTATAGTATAATACATATACTATAGCCAGAATATGTTCTACCACTACACAACAGGGAAAAAAATATCAAACATTTGTACTATTTCACAAATCTATAATATTAAAACGAAACAGTGTTTTATTATTTCACGATTCTGAATCAACCACTCGACGGATTTTCATGATTTTTGTGTTGAAAGAAAGATAATTTTGAAAACTAGGGAATGTCGAAGCCATAATTTTAGTTTAGGGTCCCAGTTTTTTAGAAATTAAGTTTTGATTTTTAAAAAGTCTAGCAGCCGACGCTAAGATTCTAAACTAGCTTTTGGCATAAAATAATTTGTTTAACATAACAGCTGTAATCATTCAGCTTTTGTGTCACAAATTCAGCATTTGGATAAAAATGTAAAGACATACTTAGGGTTGACTTATTTATACTATGTGTAATGCTAATCATTGATACGTTCAATTCTTCTGTAAGAGGATGACAGATTAATTTAATATACATAGTAAAATACTAGGATGTTCAAATTATTTTTTAAAGCAATCTTTGTAATCTTCGATTTGTTTTAGAGCAATATAATTGGTTTTAACTAACAGCTGGTTAGTTATAAAAATACCCTATAGAACTATGAGGTTATTTGCTCTGATTTTGTCATTGATTATAGGAAATAAGTAAGATTAGTAGACCACCGAGATAAGTAACACCATTGATGTGTACAAGTCGAGGCTCTGTACACGAGTTAAATAAAAAAGATATGCAAATTATTTTACTGCTCAACTTTTTTGGAAAGGGTAGGAAAATCCCAATTTTTACATTTTTTAATTCATCTTGGCAGCTTTTTGTTTACAATCAATGTTTTTGAATGCTTGAACTTTGTTTGGATTAGGCCCGGAAATATTGATGTCATAAAGATGGAAATCAAGAATCCTCAGGAATACGATTTTAAATTACCACCACAACCTCAGACAGGTGTTATCCAAAGATATACAGATGAATGACATAGATTGAACACAACGTCATCATTGACCTAGGATACTGCAATTAGACTAACCATCCTTTTATGAAATCTAAAAAATTTGTTTGGCGTGTGTTTAGTTGTGGTTACGTTTGGAGGTGCGGAATATTTTATAGTTTAAATAAATGAATATGGGGAATTACGATGTACATTGATTCAATGAGGGTGGTTTAATTATCAAGGGTATTGGAACTGATAACGGAATGGATAATAAACATAGACAATTAATTACGTCACTAGCTTTACTAGCTTTTTTACTTTTTAAATTCTTTCAACATGTGACCAGTTCTTTTGTTAAAATGAATATTATTTTTGACTCAGCTGTTTACAAAACAAACTAATATGTTGTTGTGTTTACTTTTCTTTGTTTACACTTATTTATTTAGCAATTGATGCGGTGAAATTGACATAAAGGATGTGTGTTGACGATTTGTTTAATGATGTCAGGACACCAACGTTATAATTATGTGTACTGTGAATTGTATTGGATGTTTTCGTTTTATTTTAGGGAGTTTCAATTCAGACCTACTGGAAATTGTGTATAGTATGAGTAATTGTATTGTGGTGATAATAATTATGGAAGAGGCAGGTATGCTATGGAAGGTGATATCATTGACTAGGCCTATACACTTCTCAATTGATAATTACTCTTTCTACTGTAGGCTGCAATAAAATTTTTCTTTATACGTGTAAACTAGCTGTTCTGAATTATAGGCCTACACCGTTTTAACTGACTACTCCCGTACGTAGGACGGGCTAACACCTCGTTATTTATTAAATTAAAAACATAAACATAACTGTAAACAATCAAACTTTGAAAGTTCTCATTGTGTATCACAGCTTTTTGTTGCTGCTTAGTTTATATTAGCTGTTGTCATATATGCAAAAAAAATTGATAGTGCTACCCTGTTGGTAAACCTTGTAACTTTTTAATGGTATTAAATAACATATCTGAAAGCAAAAAAAATATGTTAAATAACACTAATAATAATATATTTATTTACACTTATACTGTTTACTCACAAGACGGTAAATACATATAAAAGATGGTAAGTGGTGATCGATTTTGATTGGGCACTCCAATCATCATCAGGCCCAATAGGCGAATGAATTGATGGTTGTCCAATCGAAATCGATCACCACTTACCATCTTTTATATGTATTTACTGTCTTTTGAGTAAACAGTATAAGTGTAAATATATTATTATAAGTGTTATTTGACATATTTTTTGTGCTTTCATGTAATTTAATAACACAATGCTGCTTCTTGATGCTGATCAAGAAGTTATTTAATAACAATAGAACCACCTAATTTAGTTGAAACAGCTGGCAAATTTCTTTAATTCCTTTTAAATATGAATACTCATAAGAATAACATGGAAACTTTGAACTCCCGTGGGGCATAGCCCTATAGGATTTCACGACTTTAATATGCCTATGTGTTTCTCAAGACTATCAAGTACCTCTCCGCAAAATGTCAGCTCAATCGGTCCAGTAGTTTTTACATTATGGCACTTCAGAGTTTGATACTCAAAGGTTATACACAAACATCCATACTTTCACATTTATAAAATTAGTAGGATAAGTAGGATATGGATATGTCCATTCTCAATACCACGGATACTTGGACATTGGTATCAGTATCGAGAATCGATCATCAAAAGTCTATACCGACACCTGTCTGTGAAGGGCGTACAATAGAAAAATTACCACTCTTTGCCGCCATTGCAAATTAGGACATGATGTTTCCGTAACTGCGGGAGGCGATGATGTTAAAAAAACTGTGGTGGATGACCAGAACTCGTTGCAATCCTGGGAGATGGTAATGATGTATACAACGCCGCAGAAGATAATCAGAGTTTTGCCATGATCGCGGAAGGTGGTGATGATTTCTTTACGACCCCGGGAGATGATCACATGACTGCGGGAGATATTAAATTTTTTGCGGTGATCGCAGAAGACATTTCTGTGACCTTGAGAGATGATTATGATGTTTCCGTGACTAAGGAAGATATTCAGGATTTTGCAGTGATGTGAAAGACGGTGATGATGTCTCCTAGACCACCGGAAATGATCACAATTTACCTCGAGTTTGGGTTGGTTGTAAATCTAAGCCTGGCACACCTATAGTTTAAATTTTACTTCATTTAACTTTTAAAATAATATGGTAGTAATCTATAAGTATAAAAGAGGATGTTTGTATATATATATATATACTAGCTGTACCCGTGGGCTTTGCCCCGTTTTACTTCATAAGTGAGCTCGTTCGCATGGCTCAATCACTTTCTGGTTGAAGTTCGTTCGCTACGCTCACTCACCTTTAGGTTGAAGCTCGTTCGCTGCGCTCACTTGCCTTCAGGTTAGCTCGTTCGCTACGCTAACTCGCCTCCAGGTTGAAGTTCGTTCGCTACGCTCACTCACCTTTTGGTTGCAAATTAGCTGTTGTCATACATAAAAAAAAATAATAGTGCTGCACCCTGTTGGTAATCCTTGTAACTTTAATGCTATTGCACATCATAGAACAAAACCAACTTGTATTAATTGAAACAGCTGTTAAGATTCATTAATTCCATTTAAATATGAGTACTCATAAGGTTAACATAGGAAACTCCAGAGCCACTGGGGCGGAGCCCGAGAGTCCGATCAAAATAAAAACAACTTAGTTTTCCTATTTAATGCCTAAAGAATCAGTGTACCAAATTTCAGCCTCCTAGGTAAATGGGAAGTGGGAGAATTAGTGATGAGTGAGTGAGTGAGTGAGTCAGTCAGTGAGGGCTTTGCCTTTTATATATATAGATGTTTGGCAGTGATAAACTCAGACACCGCTGAACCGATTGCCACGAAACTTGGTACATACGTGTAGAATTTCATGGAATAGGTTTATACACCATCAATTTCGTGATCCGTCCAATCGGCTCCGCTCCAGTGGCTCTGGAGTTTCCCATGTTAACCTTTATGAGTACTCATATTTAAATGGAATTAATGAATCTTAACAGCTGTTTCAATTAAACAAGTTGGTTCTGTTCTATGATGTTCAATAGCATTAAAGTTACAAGGATTACCAACAGGGTGCAGCACTATTATTTCTTTTACATTTATGACAACAACTAATTTGCAACCAAAAGGTGAGTGAGCATAGCGAACGAACTTCAACCTGGAGGCGAGTTAGCGTAGTGAACGAGCTAACCTGAAGGCAAGTGAGCGTAGCGAACGAGCTAACCTGAGGGCAAGTGAGCGCAGCGAACGAGCTCCAACCTAAAGGTGAGTGAGCGTAGCGAGCGAACTTCAACCAGGACGTGATTGAGCCGAATAGAAAGACCAAAAATATTGTCTACCCACTAGCATTAATATAAGAGCAATAATAAAGAATCGGTTATCCTTTGTACTATACAGGGTGAGTTTTAATTGTCCCCCCCCCCCCAACTTTTTTCTACATTTTTTCAAATATCGATCCCAGACCACTTCCAAACATTGTTGGGTAGTAAGTACTTCATTTTGACAAGGTGGTCATTTCCGGCCGCCATCTTGGATCCGCCATATTGGATGCCAAATTTTTTTTTCAAATGTAAAGGTGGGGTTGCGACCCATTATTTCGAACTAGATTTTTACCCTGATTACAATGCCGCAAACTGTTTTTAAAAATCTTGATTCATTCTAAAGTTATGAGGGCTTTTTACAACTTTATTTTTAGCACATTTTAACATTGTGCATTTAAAATCTAAGACCATAACCTCAAAATAGTGCTAGATAAAGATAAGTATACACTACCAGTAATTGTTGACCTATTTTCATTTGGTTATGACTGATGTATTTTTTTCGGCCGCCATCTTGGATCCGCCATTTTGAAATATGATAAATTATTTTAAATATGAAGGGGGTGTTGTGACCCATCATTTCGAAAAACTTTTTTAAGCTTAACTCAATGCCGCAATCCATTTTTTGTTATCAAGTTTTATTTATGAAATATTGCAATTTTTTTGTAAAAAATGTCAATATTTAAAAATCAAAAAATGAAAATGAAAAATGGATCATGGAATTAAGTTCAGCTTAAAAAAGTAGTTAGAAATGATGGGTCACAACACCCCCTTCATATTTAAAATAATTTATCACATTTCAAAATGGCGGATCCAAGATGGCGGCCGAAAAAAATACATCAGTCATAACCAAGTGAAAATAGGTCGACAATTACTGGTAGTGGATACTTATCTTTATCTAGCACTATTTTGAGATTATGGTCTTAGTTTGTAAATGCACAATGTTAAAATGGGCTAAAAATAAAGTTTTAAAAAGCCCTCATAACTTTAGAATGAATCAAGATTTTTAAAAACAGTTTGCGGCATTGTAATCAGGGTAAAAATCTAGTTCGAAATAATGGGTCACAACCTCACCTTTACATTTGAAAAAAAAAATTTGCATCCAATATGGCGGATCCAAGATGGCGGCCGGAAATGACCACCTTGTCAAAATGAAGTACTTACTACCCAACAATGTTTGGAAGTGGTCTGGGATTGATATTTGAAAAAATGTAGAAAAAAGTTGGGGGGGGGGACAATTAAAACTCACCCTGTATGTGTTTCATTAGTTGTCGTACGTATTTTAATTTAGTTATAAGCACTTCATATACAATAAGACAATTAAACGTTACGGTACTTAAATTATAAATAGTCAAAGGCAAGACAACGTTTGCCGGGTTCAGCTAGTGATGATAAAAATAATAAATTGTATTCCTTCAATTTTACAAGTAAGCCGTTGTTGTTAATTTATCACCTGTTTAATTCCTCGCTCTTTGTAGCCCCAATGAGGCACATTGTCAGTGTTTTCCCAGTAACAACCGTTTGTACCAGTTCCGAGGATCACACCAAGGTTTGTATTTCGATCTTTGAGCACTCCGTGTAACAAAGTTCCTATAACAAAATAAACCTATGATAACTTTAAGCTATCAATAATCACGCTAATAAGCATTAAAAGAATATTTCATTGATAGTACCTATATAATGCCATTAGGCCTATATCACATATTATAGTTTTTACTATGAAATTTGAAAGTTTTTCATAAGTTAGTTCCTTTACAATAATTTCGGTACATATCCATTTCTGCTTTCATGACCATTTTAGATGACATCGCATTGGTGTTTGGTTGTAAATTTTCCAGGGTGAAAACACTTACCATTGTCTGAAAACTGACTTACATCTAGGATTATTGGTAAAAGCAGAAAGGAAACACAGTTTGCACATGTCCCCACCCAACTAAACCACTGGATGACATCCATAAAATGATGTTAACAAGTTCATATTGAACTAACAACAGAAAAATGTCTCATAACAAATCATTGATTCTCAGGGAGGCTGAGTGGATATAGTCCCACCATCAAATCTGAAGGTTGCCGTTTCGATCCCAAGCAAGATAGATTCTGGACCCAAAAGTCGTTGGTCATTAGGTTATCAATTATTGTTATTATATAATTTGATCGGTCTTGAAAAATAACAAAACCAGTTGGACCATTCTCATAAAAATGTATAAAAGTGACAATGACACTAGAATACCTAAAATAAAATAAGTGGTAAGCTCCATAGATTTTTAAGTATGGATTCCCTGACTATAGTAGCAAGGACATAAAACCTGGGGGAGTATAAATTATAATTAAGGGATTTGTAAGATTACTCATTGCATTTGTGTCTAGAAAATAAACCAACCAAACATGACCACTGCAAAGGCACATTACATAAGAGTAGATGTTCTGTAATAACAACTGTAATCACTCTACAGTAGTCGCAAGAGGTAAAGCTCACCAGTAGAGTCGTTAATGATGGCCACCACTGAGACATTGCTCAGGTTGTTCCTCTCAAGAGCCTCTGTCAGAAGCTTCACTACGTCCTCTCCCTCCACACCAGAGGCACTGAATGATAATGTCCACATCAGCAGCTGGGCTGACGATAGACTCGTCTGCTTCATGGGAAATGAGAAGGTGAAACCTTCAAACAAGGATAGTCACATATAGACTAAGGCTTCCACTGTCTCCAACCCCAGTGACACTACAAACTTATCTTCAGGATCCGACCCCATCACTAAATTAAACTTATAACTAAATGCTCTAAATAACCACTATATGAGCATGTCGTCGGAGTAGTAATGCCAGTTACTTGCACTGATGATGGATATCTGCAAAAAGGCCAAAACTCTAGTAGTTACAATTTTAGTTTTGTGAGAGAGTTGGATCCTAAAAACTAAGTTTGTAGTGTCCTATTCGTCAGGCCAATCAGAATTTAAAAATTTGTTGTTAGATTGTTTTTATTTTTTTTTTTATTTACCAAAACTATGTCATGCAACAACACATTGAGTAAGGCTACCATCAACTTCTTTCATAATTTACATATTTTCATAGAACAATAGTGTGTGTTGGTCATTACAGAACAATAGTAACATAAATGATGTTAAAAACCACACAGACTAATAATTGGAGATTTTAGTTTTGAAAAAAAATCATGATTGTGAGTAAAAACAAAATATGTGGTTTATCAATATTCAGATGGTACCCTACAATTGCCAAACTGATAATCAGGCAAAATAAAATTTGTAGTTTTAAAAATTATAGTATGCATCTTGTTAAAGGCCAATGTTAATTTTGCAATACACAATGACTATTGGGCATATGCAATTTACACTGGGTTGAGCAAATAGACATACAATGAGTTGTGTCAATTGTGTGATTGAGTAATTTGTTGTGGGGTCCAGACTGGAATTAATCCACCCAGATCCACATTTTAATGAAATACGTAATGATTCCATTTCCCAATAGCTCTCACGATAACCCTGCTCAGCGTAAACCAGCTTTGATGGGTCTTGAACTAACAGATTAACTACATTTTCATATTCTAATTAACCCTTGCCATTATTTGATGCCTGCAACAACTTGCCCTAAGTTAGATATCGATAATTGTAAAGTTTTATTTCGTTACATCACTTAATTTATTGTTGGTTGAAGTTGGCTAATTTAGAAAGGATAGAGACCCCTTAACCCCTTTATCCCCCAAAAGATTAATTAACTAGTTAGACATTATGGGTACTTTACCAACTGTAGACCAAAGATTAAGACGTCCTTCTCCTTCCCATGCCAATCCAAGACAAACCTGCTTGCCGGCGGTTGGTCTTTTCCGGCCGGAGCGCTAGTATCGGTCCGACTAGAGCTGTCTGCTTGCCTTTGGATCAGCTGATGGGGTTGACTCTTACCTTATTATATAATTGTTGGCGGTGATGGGAGTTATTCCCACATTGTAGGAAAAGTATAACTTATTTTCTAGACACACTTATTTCCATTACTAAGATGATGCAATATACCAATTAACTTTTTTTACAAATAATCCTAATAACTTGTAAAGAACGTTATAATACCTAAAGGTAGTTTTTTGTTGGTAAGCTGGTATTTCTGTAGAAATGAAGAAATGCATTTTGCAATGAAGTCGAACAGGTCAGTTCCACGGCCCACTCGGAGCTCGTTTTCTATATGGTAGCTTTCCGACTGTTCATCAACAATTTGCCCTTTCTCCAACATCACATGAAGAACTCTGAAGTTTGTGCCTCCCAAGTCAAGTGCAAGAAACTGCCCCTCTTCTACAACGAACAATTATATTAGTTGTTTGTGTTGAAGATCAAGTTTCTTGTTGGTTCATTGAAGATGTTATTGAAATTATAATTTCTGATAATTCATAATATACCAATACCAGGCGAACGCTCACAGTACGGCCACACTAAATTACAGGGCAGGATGATCTCAACAAATGTTTATTAGTACAAAGCCATTTTCAACAATATCTATTCCCCGGCATGGTGTTTACGTGACTAAACTGATGAACTCCAAATAATATCATAGTGCTTGAGATTGACAACAAACTGTAATATCTTTCAAAGAAAATATTACCAATTTGCTGAAAAGTACTGTTTAATATTTTAATTTTATCAATTTACAGTAGAACAATTATGTGAATTTGTATGGTGGGGTTTTACCAACATTTGGGATACCGTCAACTTTTTCTGTCTGCAAACATTTTGTGGTTCAAAAATTCACACCTTCACTGCGTTTACGAAGGACAATGATGACATTTTCACGCGGAGGAAGGCAATGAAGATTTTCTGTGATCGCGGGAGACAATGATGATTTTGCCTTGATCCTGCATGAAGATGATGTCTACTTGTCTGTGGAAGATTTTCAATATTTTTCCGCCATCGCTTGATGATGATGTCTACAAGACTGGAAGAGATACTAAAGATTTTGACACAACCATGGAAGACAATAATAATGTTTCATTCCAGAATCACTTATTGAAATAAATGGTTTATATTACCTGTCCCTCAGTGACCCTACTGTCCTCTATGACGACGGATGAAAAAGCCTGATGATGAGATTTTAATCTTGAAACCAGTCGCCATAGAAGACAGTAGGATCACTAACGGACAGGTAATATAAGCCATTTATTATAATAATTTTTCTGTTCTCATGCGAGAAGATGATTTCTACACCTAGACGACCACAGGAGTTCAGGAGTATTAAAAGTTATTTTTGAAATCAATTTGAATAGTTGGAGTTCTACTGCAATTTATTTATAGAAACCTTTGTTTCCTTTCAATAATGATTCAATTTTAACCAGTAAATATTTAAGATATAACTTATAAAAACTTTAAGAGAGAAGGGAGTTTATAAGAATATTTTCCTAACCTGAGTCATCAGGAAGTTGAGAGATGAAAGTGTTTAGCATCAGCATTGCCGACGTTTCACCCTTTAGACCGGACCTCAACTCCTGCATGAATATATCACGTATTCTGCTGACTGTTGGTCCATCAATGTACAAGCCTATGAGCTTGTCTTCAATCTAAAAAAATAAACAGTACCGGTACTAATGAAATTCAATGCTTTTACAGTGGATGCATATACAGTAAAGTGATTATAATATACAGGGTCCTCATATACATGTAATTATCCTCATGTACAATATGGGAATGATACTATTTCCGAAACCATTGCAGATAGTCATTAATCTTAGGAAATAAGTACCAACATACATACAAATCTACTTTTTTAAGGAAATTAAAATTTTTCAATCATACTGCCACTGGGGATGGTCTAAGGAGCCAGATGGAAATCTTAAATGAGATCATAGGTTGGGAGTTTTTAATTATATTATAGGTCTCAATTGCAAAAACGCAGTTAGACAAACCCCACTTCAACAGGTTTTTTCTCAACAAAAAAACATCAACATCAAATCACATCAAATCAACATGGCAGTTAAAAGTTACAAACTTGAACTTGTTGAAATTGCTAAGTTGCTATTCCTTATACGGTGGGGAGCGAGCTGATCTAGTGGTTAGAGCGCGGAACTCCGGTTCCTGGGGACCCGGGTTCAAATCCCGCCAAATCACCGATGGATTTTATCTAAGTGATAATGCCGTAACCCCTAGGTCTAGCCTGAAGTAATGTGAAAAACAATTCCGGGCTCATGCCCAGCGTCCTAGGAAAAAAAATGTCTTATACGGTAGTTTTAAACTGCCGCTGCTGTTGTTAGGATGACCTTTTAGAGTCCGCTTTGCAGCATTGTTGTTTTCCTGATAGAAAACTTACTTATATGCAAATCTTAGTTCCATTATCTGCATCGTTTACACAATTGAATTCCGCTCCTGGACTTATGAGGACATGAAATTACTTCTATAAGCTCTATTCAGGTTTAAATTTTTTGCAACACCTGCCGGCTCATATAAAGAGGGAAGACAATTTGAATAAAGTTAGAAGAACACTACACTGCAACCATGAAACAATTAGACTTCCGAACCTTTTCAAACTATAGTAGGCCTACATTGATAATATTACTCAAATCTATAGTACTGTATTTAGATATTGATATACCTGATGTATAAAAACCGGGTTTCGAATAATACTTAAAAGGTTCTATATACTTGAAAGAGCACTACATTTTCTAGACAAGCTCTTTCAAATAGGCAGGGCCCATATAAACAATATGAACATGGAATAATGTATTATGCTATACAATCAAATAATTAATTGGGTATAAAATTATGTATGGCAGAATTTAACTTAAATGATCATGAATAGGTATTATTTCAGACCACTATTACCTATTTGTTACCTGTTTTTTCCTATGACCGTCACTTATCTTGAGTGGTTGCAGTATAAGAGCTTCATTCAATTTACTCATTGTATCTTTACTGTACGACATCTTCTAGAACATCATCCAAAAAGCATTTTTTACTCAGAAAGTTCAACCTGGCAGGAAAATAAATTTAATGGGAAATGTACCAGTTTTATAGCACTAGATGATATAAGTTAAAAGAAGGTTTAACACTTTCAAGAGATAAAGCCAAAGCAATATAAATCTCTTGACAACTTATTATTTAAGTTACCAATGGTTGAACACTTCACTCTTCACAACAAAATCTAAAACGTATCCAGGCAAGGCCTTTAATAGTTACTGCTGTTAGGCCACAGCAACAAAACAATTTTCATTCCAAAAATGACCTAGGGAGTAGCTGTATATGGCTCTGGGGAGTGGGAATTTTTAACAGGGATTTTCTCCCTAATCCTTGTATTTCCCTTATTTTGTATGTAAGACATTTAGAAAGCACAAAAAATATGTTGATTAACACTTGTAATAATATATTTGCACTTATAATGTTTACTCATTACTTCATGTTGTATGTTGTTTTTCTGAATCACTGAGATATAATATATATATGAGGTTACATTACCTTAATCGCCAAGTGATCCATGTAGTCCAAAATCTAGGATTACGTACGTTTCGACGTCAATGCGTCATTGTCAAATCTACAAAAACTTGTTTAAACCATAAGGGTCACGTCATAGTTTTTACGACACACACAAACAAATAATATTGACAAAATACATTTAAGTAGGCCTACTAACTAATTTATGGTAAACGGTCGTCACAACATAGTACAGATCTGATCGCATGCCGAGACTCGACTGCAAAGCATATAACATAAGCAGTCGAGTCTCGGCATGCGATCAGATCTGTACTATGTTGTGACGACCGTTTACCATAAATTAGTTAGTAGGCCTACTTAAATGTATTTTGTCAATATTATTTGTTTGTGTGTGTCGTAAAAACTATGACGTGACCCTTATGGTTTAAACAAGTTTTTGTAGATTTGACAATGACGCATTGACGTCGAAACGTACGTAATCCTAGATTTTGGACTACATGGATCACTTGGCGATTAAGGTAATGTAACCTCATATATATATTATTTACTCATTAGACTAAAAGATGGTAAGTGATGATCGATTTTGATTGGACACTCCAATCATCATCAGACCCCAATAGGCGAATGTAACTATAAGTGTAATTATGTAAATAAAAGTGTGACCCAGTATAAGTGTAAATATATTTTTACAGTTTCCGACCTCTAGTACTTTGTGCTAACTTTTGGAGGGGCCAAAAACTTAGACATTTTTGGTATTTTTTAAGTTTTTTGTGTATATGTTGTAAACTAAGTATATTTTGTGTACCATTATGCATTACAAAGTTGTAGAGCATAAAATTTGCTAAACTTTGGTTGGAAAAACAATTTCATGTATTTAAAAAAAACGCACGATGCAAATAAAGAAGTTATTTAAGTAAGACATTCGAAACCTCGTATACCTCCTATTTTTGGGACGAGAAATTCAATCGAACAATCCCGCTAACACCCCCCCTTTTTTGACTTGTTGGGGGGGGGGGGGGGTAGTATACATGTATACAGCTCTCGGGAGTTGGTATGTTGTAATGATGCTGGGGGACTGAAATTATGTGTGCCCTATTATTGGGACGAGAAAAATGGAACCCCATGTATGGTGTGTGTGTCCGTTAGCGCGATAACTCAAGCAAAAATCATCGGATTTTGATGAAATTTGGTACAAACGTGTAAGCCTACGTTTATTCTAACGAGTTTGCGATCCAGCATAATCGGACCATGGGAAACGATTTATGGGGGGTTTTATGGGGTAAAAATGGGGTTTTCCCACTTTTGACCCTAAAAACAAAAAAAATTGCAATTTCTTTTTAAACCGTTTTGTAGAACTTAAAAAAGGAAATAATTTAGCATATTGAAGCATTGTTGTATGCCTAACTGTGACGGAAAAAAATTCAAAAATAGTGTAATTTAAAATTCCCATGTTATTCTTATGGAGAAAATGAAAATTGTTGTAGTTGGATATATATTAAAAGTTAATTGGATATTGTAGTTGTATGGATATATATTAATAAAATTTGGCAAATTTATTTATTTCATCTTATACTATTAACGTATAGTCAAAAACACTTTTGACCTCCCCGTAGCAGCAAACCTAAGCACTCGTTAAATCTAATGTTATTTAAATAGGGAATAAATATGTCTTATTTATGGAAATATTTGAGTAAAAATGTAATCAGACAAGTTGAAATCCGCTTAGTCTGCAGGTTTGCTGCGGCAGAGGTATTTATATATGTATATATATAGTTCACGAGCCAGCATGATCGGACCATGTAAACAGGGGATTTATGAGGTAAAAATTGGGTTTTTTCATTTTTTCCTCAAAATTCCAAATTTTCCAATTTCTTTTCAAACCATTTTAAAGAGCTTAAAAAACAAATAATTTAGTATGTAGAATTGTTTTGTGCGGTTATCTGTTATGTATAAAATCAAAAAGAATTGTAAATACCTATGTCATTCTTACAAAAAATAGTAAACTGTTGTATTTTGCTTATTTCTGGATATATGTTGATCAAACCTGGAAAATTTCTTTACTTTATTTTAAGCTATTAATGTTTTACAGAAATCACTCTTCATTAAGCCCCCCTGTAGCAGCAAACCTAGGTACTCCTTAAACTTAATGATATTTAAATAGATTTAAGTGAGAGTCAAATGGAAATTCGCTTAGTCTGCAGGTTTGCTGCGACGGGGGTATTATGATTTTAAAACTGTTAGGATTTAAACGTTGTATTTGTATATTGTATAATTGTAATGCTGAAGGACAACAATACAAATATTCTGAAAAATATTGGGACGGGTGGCGCCGTCCTGTAATCCAGCTACTAGGAGGTAACGAATTGTGGATATTTATAGGCATGCACTGTGGATGCGATACTCTTGGTGTGGATTAACGTCTGCACGAGTGAGCACTCCACAGTCATCCGCAGTACTATCCTGATAATTAGACCAATTCGTATAAACTGTAGGTCCCTATTAGTTGCCATTAGCTGTAGGGGCTATTAATTAACAGCTATGTCTAAGGGATATGTCGCCCTTAGTCACTAACAAGACTACAAGATCGCGCCACTCATCTCCATTCATACTTGGTTTAAAATACCTTCTTTGTATGGTCGCCATTTCATTGAAATTATAAAGTATAATGTTCCAACTTTGACTTTGTCCATTGCATAATTGTAAAATGCTGAAGGACAGCAATAAAAATATTCTGATTTTGATTAGGGGTGTAATGGTGTAATGTTGGTATGTTGGTATATGTTGCAATAATGCTAGAGTACTAAAATTATGTATCTCCCCCCCTGGTGGAAGGAAAATACATAGGTGTGTATTTCCATTTCCGTCACTTGCTGACGTCATCCAGATTGCAAACAAAAAATCAGCTGATGTATTGCCATATAAGTATATAAATTTGTTTTGATTTGATTGTTATTGTTTTTATAATTTTTCTTAAATGGTAAAATATGGTGTTTGCAATCTGAGTGACGTCAGCATATGACGGGAATAGCACACTTATGTATTTTCCTTCCACCATGTGTCTCCACTATATTTGGGGCGAGAAATTCAGTGGAATCATCACCGTCCCCCTAACGTCCCCCTTTTTTACTTTTTAGGGGGGTAAATACCATCCTTATTAAAATAAATATTTTTTGTCTTAGATAGGTTGCTTTTATTTTTTTAATACTAAATATAACTTACCCACTTTTTTACCACTTATCTTGCCCCTTCCCATTAGGAGTCAAAAACCCCATTTTAGCTATAAGTTATAGATCTGGGGAGTTGGTATGTTGCAATGAAGTTAGGGTACTTAAATTATGTGTACCCCCTATTTTGGGGCAAGAAATTCAATGGAACCATCATCGTCCCCCTAACACCCCCCTCTTTTCCTTATTAGGGGGATAGTGTACATGTATATGGTTCCGGTGGGTACCATGCATTAGACGTTTATTACGTTACTATTTTGCATAGGATTACAACTGCCCAAATTTCTAACCAAATATTGGTCGGAGGAAGGCCACTGAGCTCCAGACTGTCTAACGATTCCTAAGGAGAAAACCTGAACTTTTAGAGGAAAGGGGGTGTTAGCGGGATGGCGATTGTTCCTTTGAATTTCTCGCCCCCAAAATAGGGGATACACATAATTTCAGTAAGTTACCTTAGCATCATTGCAACATACCAGCTCAACTCCCCAGAGCCATATAACATGTAGCCTACAGTACACCCCTAATAAGTAAAAAAGGGGGTTGTAGGGGGTTCCAAAAGTCTGGTGGTTCCATTGATCAGGACAACAATAAAAATATTCTGAAAAATATTGATTGGGACGGGCGGCGTCGTCCTGTAATCCAGCTACTATGAGGTAACGAATTGTGGATATTTATAGGCATCACCCTAAAAATAAGAGGTATACGAGGTTTGGAATGTCTTACCCACACAATAGGGTCCGAAATACAAGGGTTAGGGAGAAAATCCCTGTCAAAAATTCCCACTCCCCAGAGCCATACTGTACACCTACCGACCTAGGCTTTTAAAAACAATAAGTTTTAATACAAGTAAGAGAGATTATACATCTAGGATAATAATTTTTGTAAGAATATTTGTTGTAACATAAGTTAATAGGCCTACCATAAACGGAAATAAGTTACATGACAATTTTTGGGAAGATCAAATAAATATAACTTAATTAAATTACAGTTACCTTGACAGAATACAAACTAAACGGTTGCACTTTACTTTACGTCCTACACTCATTCGAATGAAAATATCGATCGATATATTGATTACCTATTCGATATCGATTAATTACAGTTAATTAATAGTTATAGTTCATTCGATATATCGTTTGGTTAGTTAGGTAAGGTTAACCTAACCTAACTAACCAAATGGTATATGCAATGAAACAATCGAATAATCAATATTTTCATTCGAATGAGTGTAGGGCGTAAAGTGCAGCCCATTAAACTTCCGTAAAATAAAACCCATATTGTCATATTTAAAAATAATTCACTTAAAACTGGAATGAATTTATGGCATAAAGCTTAACCTAACAACTACCTAATTCATTTGATCGAATCTCAATCTTATTTATGATTCTTAACTTATAAGTATTTAGGTTTGGTTATGAGACTGGAATATGAGTCTTCTAAATAATTGTAAATTACTAGGCCTAATAAACAACCTTTAAAAACTTCGTTTAAAATAATAACTACTGTAACTAATAAAAACAATGTTTGTTAGGGGATGCGGAATACTATCCCCTGGAAAAATACCCCCCAGTTGAAACGTGACGTCACAAAATCTGCCAACTAACCAATATGGAAGCCGTGTCCGCGACTGGAATACTATACCCCCCCTAGACAAATCATGCTATTTAATTTTAAATCAAGTAATTCCATTGGATAATAGAAAAGTCAACAGAATTTCGAAATGTTACAGCAAGTTTGGTTGGTTAGGTTAGGTTAGATTAGAACTGTTTGACAAGTAAATTTGAGTGTCCGTGACTGGAAAACTGCCCCCCGGTCTCTGACGTCAATATGACGTAGGAACCTGTTTGGGGGGGTAGTTTTCCGGGGGGACAGTCTTCCGGCGACCCGTTTGTTAGGCTATTGCCTCTTCTCACAAATTAGATGGACAAGTACATAAAATAACAAAACCAGAGCTAGGGCGGTTCTCTCATAAAAATAACTTCACTACATTTAACTTAGTTTATATTAATACACTGACAGAAAAACTTACACGTAGGTAATTCAAAATTGTGCTTATTTTATATTAAGTGTTAGCTTATCAATGGTGTTGGGTTAGATTAGATAGGCTAGTACTTTCGACTTTTCGAGTCTCAACCTTGACACTTGACAGACGACACAGTTCAGTATGACGTTGACGTTTGATTTTTTTTCAATTTAATAAGTCTCTGACTTGCAGCCATGGAGTATAAAAAAAGTTGAACCTTGAAGTAGAGGACAAACATTTTTCTCCAGCGGTCCTTCGACGATGGATTTTTTAATCATGGGCGCCCACAGGGAGGTGCCACTGGTGCCAGTGCCACTGAGCTAAAATTATAACTGGAGGTAGCCTAGCTCGCACCTAAACTATAGAATTAAGAAATTGGCATGGAGGTTAATTCCAATCAACCTCTAGGTGTGCAATAAGAAGTGTTTTCAAGAAATTCCATCAGAGCTCTACCCTAGTGGCTTAGTCTAGATTGTACTAGATCTAAAGATAAAACACAGATCTAAAGATCTGTCTACACTAAGGCATAAGTATACAACCACTCAAAATAGTTTTGAGTACCAAGGTGTAAAAATGTACAATTTCTTGCCTGCATCCATCAAAAACCTGTGTGTTTCAAAATTTAGACATGTTTTAAAAACTACTCTAACCCAGGCTTGCCTGTATAAACATGAGGAGTACTTTGGTTTAGAGTTTTAGTTATTTTAGTTGCCATCTTGATTGTTTTCTTTTTCTTTTTCTTTTGATGATTGTCATGAACTTTGTATTAATTTTAATGACCATAGAGCATTTCATTTCATAGCATTTCATTTCATTTTCATTTCAAGTTCCTATATGTATCCCTATAGAGAAAAAAATTGCTTAAAAATTTGAACACATGAATACTTTTGAATCTGCACTATTACTTAGGGAACAGCTGGTTATATTTCATTGTTGTATTAATAGTCAAAGGTAAAATGAAAATAATGAAAATATTTACATTATTTTTGTGGCTTGAAAATTTTTTACTGCATATAAGACATGGCCGTGATTTAAACTATGTCAAAGGAATAATTATTGGCTAACGAGTTTAACCTTTATTTTTAGCGAATTACCCTATAGGGAAGTAGCTATTACCGTAGGTGGCATGGTAAGACCTAGGCCCAGGACCGATTTACTTTGTGACGCTTTTTTTGCTGTTTTTTTTTTTTTTGCACCCGAAGTTGGTAGGGCATAGATGTGACGTACATTTCCACACTGAAACATATATCACTAGTTTACATGCCAGGTTCAAGTACCACGTGCTATACAGCACATTTAGTTTTAAGGAGATTTGGGTTGGCCTTCCAGGGTTAGCGTCAAGATACTACTTTCACACTCAGCCGTACCTAAACATCAGAACCCAGAACCTCAGAAACCTCGCCTTGGCTGAGGTTTACTGCGTCGGGGATCTCGAGCATCTGGTTCATCACCCAGATGTCGCCGTGGTCCGGAATAATCCTCACGGACCGGTCACTGCCCCTTCTACCGCAGTGATACGTGGTAGCCTTCCATGGACACTAGTCGCAACCCCCTAAATCTTTTTCTTGTTCAGCACACGACATTCAGCCAGGCGCTTGGGTTCGACATAAAGTATATAGTTTTGACTCCGTCTGCCATTGTAGCCTGGGGTTCACGGTAGCTCCTGTCATCACAGCCGCAGGCTGAGGCTCATTCTGCCCCCCCCCCCACTCAGCGTAGTAGGCTGGGGCTTATCCGGCCTCACCTGGCCGTCGTTGCAGGCTGGGTCACTTGTAATCACCGTCGATGCTACTGCAGACCCAAGTCATACTTCCCATCCGTAAGATTTGTCATACTAATAGCTAATTGAAAAAGTCCCCATAATCTCGTTGCAGCATTTATCTGCCAACAATTTGAATAAACTGGTTTTAAATCTTTTAAAATCTGTCAAACACTTTATGGTGCTAGGCAGAGGCAGACTATTATACAATTTTATACCACAGTAATATGGAGAATGTTCAATGGTGGAGGTGTTATGTCTAGGATATGTAAGGCTATTCTTTTGTCTTGTGTTATAGTTGTGAAAATCAGAGTTATTTGGAAAATGTGATAAATGTTGTCTTATGTACAAAATCAGACTATATATGTATATACTGGGAAAAGGAAGAATTTTGTGATTTTTAAAAATACTCTTACAGGATTTTTTTCCTTTAAGTCCAAAAATAATACGGATAATTCTCTTATGTATTTTTAAAAACTTTCCTATCTGAATTTCCACAGAAGATCACACCATAATTAAACAAACGATAGACATAACCATAATAAACCATCATGAGAGTAGATATGTCAACAGATTTAGATAAAATAATGTACATAAAATGTGCTTTATTTACATATGGCCTTATAGTAGGCATACACCATGTTTCTTTGTCTGGATTTTATTCCTACTGTTTGATATTTTCTGTATATTTGGTGGAGTATTTTTTAACAAAAGTGTTTTACCTTTAATATTGTTTTCTGATGTGGCAAAATCATCCAGATTATGAGCAAAAATCTAATATATAAAATTCTCGTGTCACAGTGTTTGTCTGCAAACTCCTCCGGAACGACTTCACCGATCGTTATGAAATTTTGGTGTGTAAATTCTGTAGGTATGCGAATCGGACGTAAACTATTTCCCGTTTCGAAATTCTTAAAAGGGCTCCACCCCAGTGGCTCTGGAGTTTCCCATGTTAACCTTATGAGAAATGGAATTAATGAATCTTAACAGCTGTTTCAATTAAACAAGTTGGTTCTGTTCTATGATGTTCAATAGCATTAAAGTTACAAGGATTACCAACAGGGTGCAGCACTATTATTTCTTTTACATTTATGACAACAGCTAATTTGCAACCAAAAGGTGAGTGAGCGTAGCGAACGAACTTCAACCTGGAGGCGAGTTAGCGTAGCGAACGAGCTAACCTGAAGGCAAGTGAGCGCAGCGAACGAGCTCCAACCTAAAGGTGAGTGAGCGTAGCGAACGAGCTCCAACCCAAAGGTGAGTGAGCGTAGCGAACAAACTTCAACCTGGAGGCGAGTTAGCGTAGCGAACGAGCTAACCTGAAGGTAAGTGAGCGCAGCGAACGAGCTCCAACCTAAAGGTGAGTGAGCGTAGCGAACGAGCTCCAACCCAAAGGTGAGTGAGCGTAGCGAACGAACTTCAACCAGGACGTGATTGAGCGATGCGAACGAGATCATCTTGAAAATTAAAAGTAACGGTACTTTCTTTCCATCGGTCTGTCTTAGGGGAAACCTACTGTATAACTTAGGCGATACGAAGTTCGCCGGGTCAGCTAGTATCTATATATTGATTTGAAACTGTTTTTATTTGTGACAGCTAATTTGAGAGAACGGCTGGGCGTAGAAACTCGGTAGAGGTGTCTAAAGAAAGGGCTTGGTCAGTAGATGAGCCATCAAAAGAGAAACGTGGTAAATTCCCTTGGGGCTCTGCCCTAGTGGCCTTTAAATTCCCATCCCATGTTATTCTTATGGGGGAAAAACGGGTTTTTGTCACAGCTAATTCCAGAGAACGGCTGGGCGTACAAACTTGGTAGGGGTCTCTAAAGAAAGATCTTGGTCTCTAGATGAGCCATCAAAAGAGAAACGTGGTAAATTCCCTTGGGGATCTGCCCCAGAGGCATTTAAAGTCCCCTCAGCAGATTTGTTTACATTATGACCATATGTATAATTATTTCACATTACTTTTTAATGAAACAGCTGTTAATATTCAAATTGTGATTTATTGAATTTGTCAAAATGAAGTACAGTATTGGGTTTTTCTGATTTTAAAATGGATTTTCTTCTGCATCGTATCATGTTTTGCAATATAATGTTCCATTACCAAATCAGTAGAAAATCCTATTATCACAGTAACTCTTTTCTTTTGGAGTTAACTTATATCTATTGTTGGGTTGGTTTCTGATAACTCTTTCAGTTAACTCAGTTAACTAGATAAGTTAAGAAGATAAGTTTCAGTTAACTCTTATGGTCTATTGGGTTGGTTTCTGCCTGTTTTACCACTTCTTGGAGATTGTACGTAGGTGATATTCGTTGGCATATTGCATCTGTGAAACTTGGGTTGGTGTATAGAATGGAAAAGAGTGAGAAATCCTGGACAATTTGATATAGGCTAAAAATAAAACTGAATTAACACTGTTCTACATTTCTTGAGCAATCATTGAAAAACCCGATTTGCAAACAATGGAAACATAGAAAAAGTCATAGAACACAACCAAGTAAAATAAATAGAAATAATGTTTTTTTTTCATTTATAATCGTTATCATAGACAACCTAATGCGACTATAAGAGGGAAAAATTTGTAGAGAACACTAAAAAAACAAGATCAGCTTTTTGAAAAAAGAAGATATTTACAAAAGATTTTGATTATATCTAACTACTGTTGTGTAGATTGTGAGTATTTCCATAATCTTTGAGTCGCCTGTAGTGCAATTGCTCGAATTTGAGCAACAGGTACACTAGTAATTGTTTTATTTCATGCCAAAACTATCTGTGGAAGATAATATCAATCTAAAACATATCTTGTCTGTTGAGACAATACTGATGCATGTTTTAGTGTTGTAGTTTAAAGATTTTTTATGTCTCCTTGATAAAAATGTGTGTTTACAGCATTGAACAATTGAATCCTATGAGATTTTAAGTGTCTACATTTTTATGTTCTTCAGATACAATCAGTGTGTACAAAAACTAACCTAACACAACTTTAAATTATGTAAATAATGCATTGCTCTCAAAGGGGTGACAAAAACACCTATTTTTGCCTTTATTCCTTTTTCTGCTGGATAATGTAATTTATAGCTGCCTGAAATTTGTCATTGCTATACCGGTACTACAATTATATTTTGCCAAAAAAAAAACTTAAATAATATGATTGTGGAAAAAACCTATGTTTATGAAACTAGGGTATTGTCCATAATTCACCTCCTGATCTGGATGGCTGTTCATATCGTTCTAATTGAACACTATTTAAAATTAACTTCTTATTCAGTGCTTATTTGAGTTTTCCTGCAATGTTTTAATCAGTTAGTGGTTTGGCATTACTATTCTCATATGCATCTCATTAAAGATTGATTCCAGAGTGAAATCAACAACAACAAAATTTCAGGCTCACAAAACTCCAAGCAGGTAGTTCTTGCTATATGTATGTGGTAGATCCGATCCCTTCTAGAAAAATGTCACACAAAAGAAAACAATGTAAAGCCAGGACTATTTATACACCACCAGCAGCAAAAATCAACATACCTAATAGAAAATATGTTTTTCACTCATGTTATTTTAATAAGTGGTACTATAAATGAAACAAACAGTTTTAAGATTTTATTTTTAGGTAACATAACAATTTTTATTTAAGTTACATATACAAACATCATAATTGAATAAAATGCATGTACAATTTCAAAATTGTCAAAACTGAGACTGAGTAGCGTGGACGGGCGTGGACTACCTATAAGTACACATGTTACACATCCAGCTCTGACTATGAAAATAGCAGACCTTCCAAATAAACAGGTTTAAAATTAAGAAACATTAACAAATTTTAATTCCCATATTACCATTGATTTCAGTACATCATACTTACTTTATATTCATTAAACTCGGATATTGGGAGTTAAAAAATACCAAAGTATAATTCATGTCACATATATTTATTTCAATCAATCATCTACAATAATAACTATTCTTTTATATTTAAAAAATTTAAATATCAAACAAAATATTATACACAATAAAATATACAATAACAGGTGAAACCAAGTAACAAATAATAAAACAAAAATTGGAATGACATTAGCAAACCTTAACAATATCAAGTTCTTCATTCGGATTCAAAAACTATAATATAGTGCATGTAAAAAGTTTGTCTTCTTACCTTATTAACAAAGTTGATGAAACTCTCAAGTTATTCTTTAAAAATCACATTTTTAAAAGACTTGAACATTTCTATAATACAAAAATAAAACAAATATAGAAAACGTTGCTAGCTGTTTTCAGACTAATTTAACTCATAATAGTTACCGTACAAAAAAAAAAGGTTTCTGATGATCACAGATTACTAATGGCACATTATCCTAAAATACAGCTCTAACTTTCATTTACTGACTATTTAGTCCTTTATTAAAATAAACTACCATTATGTCATATCCTTAAGATTTTCTCTGAAATATTCTTACAAAAGTCAACAACATTTTGCCTAGCAAATATAACAAATATATACCTAAATATATATACTTCCCAACATAAAACTGTACATGGTTTAACAGATATAATATTTACAAGATAATCTAATGACTACTAATATCATCTTCGGTTAACTTTCCCACAAAAAAAATGTATATTTAAAAAAATCAAGAGTTTTTGTTTAGAAGTTTATATAAACTATTTGTAATCCTTTAACATTGATCTGTGTTTATGATTTTGATAACTATCATTATCTGTGTTTCAAAAATAAAGAATGCTTGAAATATTTACAAAGATGTAAATTAATCATGTTTATTATAATAAATCAAAAATCAATTGTCAATTATCAATCATTGAGATGGGGACGCACACCCACTGCAACAAACCTCCACACTAAGCAAATGTTCATTTGCCTGATTTGATTTTAAGTTAAATCTAATTAAACGACATTAGTTTTAACGAGTACTTAGGTTTGCTGCTACAGGGAGGGTGGTATGTTATTTGTAGTAAAACAATAATAGCTTAGTATAAAATAATACATAAAATTGCCAAGTTTTTTGAATTTTCTCCGTAACCAATATCTGTCCAAAAACACTTCATGGTACTAAATTTTTTTTTTAAGCTTTACAAAATGGTTTTGAGAGAAATTGAGAAATTTAAAGTTTTGAGGGTCAAAAATAAGAAAACCAAATTTTTACCCAATAAAACCATTCCCATGATCTCTGAAAACTCGTTCGAACAAACGTCTGTTTATACAGTTGTATCTCCATCAAAATCGGAAGATTTTTGTTCATGTTATCATGCTTGGTGCTAAAGGATACATATATTTTTATTTTATATATGAATTTGAACAGATGGTGTTTTTAAGTAAATCGGTTCCGGGTCCAGGTCTTACCATGAGCACCCGCCATAACCTACGGCCATAGCTTATTCCCTATATGGGAAATTCTCTAATAACCACACATGAGATTTGGATTGAATTTTTAAGTGATATTTCACCTTTTGAAACCCAGGGCTTATTCATTGTTTTCTATAAGCCAAATTTTATCTTGTTTTTCCTCATCTTATGAACACAAAAACACAAATTCTAAAAAAACAAGTATTTGGTACAAAGTAAAACGTCTGATCGGGACAGTAATTACAAAGAATCCACAGATAATATACCCATCCCATCTCCTTACATTCAGCTATCAATTGTTTTATTTAGGTGTATACCAGATACCCAGCTGTGGCACAGACATGTGAACTTCTCATACTAAACCTGACCGAAGACAGAATTTGAACTGATGAACTTCAGTGCTACCTTTTGGCCGGGGAGACAATGCCCTACTGTTGTGCACAGCTTTCAGACATTTCTGGTGAGTTATGTTGACACAAATAGCTGTTAGTTCATCTTTTATTATGTTAATCTTAATGTCCAATGCATCTGTCTTAGGGGCTTAAAGGGTTAAAATACATATACAATATTTACTCTGTTAAAAATTAAGTTATACCTTAACTACAAATTTTTTATCGGACTAGTTTAAATTAATGAACCTAAAATATTGTTTCTAACTTAGCATTCCTGAAGGTTTTGTTGCTGTAGGATGAAATGTATTAACAGTCCTGATGTGTCAGATCATGTTTCATGAAACCCCGTTACTTCTTGACTTGAGCTTCATGGCGATGGCTGCTGCCAATCCAGCGCCTTTGCCACTGCCGTCTAGGGCCAGGAGAAGACGACACTGAAACGATGTCAAACAAATAACATTTGTCAATCTGTGACATCACTGAATAGATGTAAGACAGTGAATTATTAATAATGCGTTGATTTTGGTCCTAAAACTACATCAAGTGCTGTACCTTCTGAAGGGGGGCCAGGATGGGGATGAATGTGTTCATCCACTGTTTCATCCGAGGGTGATGTTTGTAGAGGCTTCCGTCCACCGCCACAGTAGAGTCTGGCCTGTTCATGTGCTTCAGTAGCTCTGCACAGCCTGCAAACACATTATTTAATTATTATTATTTTCCCCCCTTTTCCTTTTTGTTTCTTCTTAATTTTATAATGTTTAAAAATATCTTGCTTCTTGATTTGCGTATTTACTCATTTATTTTAGCGAATAACAAACAATTTTGTGTTGCCATGGAAACCGGATATCACCAAAACTCAGCTGCGGTAAGGTAAACAAACAAATCTTTTTCTGCGTTATTACTTATAAAAGTACACAACTTTTGATTTTTCTACGTAGGGAATCAATTGAACTTTATAATAGTGTTGTTATTTGGTGTCTACATTAATCTTGGAATTTGTAAATCAAGTTTACTTTCAAAAAATAGTTTTAAACATTTTTATTTTTATAATCTTTATAGTTTTTGCTTTTTTAAGTTTTACACTTTGACTATCCAATTACCACTTTTCTGTAGCTAGTTTTACTGTAAACAAAATGGTGAAAGAATTGTTAATTTATTACCTAAGGTTAGCAATTAGAGTAAAAGTCTACAAATTCGGTAAAATTAATTGCTGACAGAGGTTGCTGCAGGCAGCGCATTAATTCCTTCCCCAATGGGTTAAGTCATCGGAAATCATCACTGTTATTCTTTAAAAAAAAAACACCTGTAATACTTTTTAATTGCTCGAATTCGAGCAACAGGTGAATTAGTGTTTACTAATCTTCGTACATAATTATATAGTTTAATCTGTCTGTATTTCCTTTATGACAAAAAATAAAACATAGAAATATAGTTCACTACACGGGCAAAAAGTTACTTTTTAAAAGAGTCATATCCTAAAAGTACAAATTACAAAACTCATAAAATTTAGCTACAAAAGCCATTTTTATATCTTGTCTGCAGCAATTATCGTACAATAAGTTTTTTTTTTATTTCACATTGTATAAAAGAAAATAAGTAATTATAAAATGGTTTACATGGGGGGTATTTTTTTTAGAAGGCAGTATGTGCCATTTTATTATACCATTTATTTTACAAATGTAACAAAAATAAATCCATAGTAGCTTCGGCTTACTTCTGTAGGTACTTACATATAGAGACAAGTAGGGCAGCCCTCAGGGAGACAATCTCGCAGATGTACTTTAATACTACAATATCCTCTTGTGTGTACTTCTGTAGGTACTTACATATAGAGACGAGTAGGGCAGCCCTCAGGGAGACAATCTCGCAGATGTACTTTAATACTACAATATCCTCTTGTGTGTACTTCTGTAGGTACTTACATATAGAGACAAGTAGGGCAGCCCTCAGGGAGACAATCTCGCAGATGTACTTTAATACTACAATATCCTCTTGTGTGTACTTCTGTAGGTACTTACATATAGAGACAAGTAGGGCAGCCCTCAGGGAGACAATCTCACAGATGTACTTTAATACTACAATATCCTCTTGTGTGTACTTCTGTAGGTACTTACATATAGAGACAAGTAGGGCAGCCCTCAGGGAGACAATCTCGCAGATGTACTTTAATACTACAATATCCTCTTGTGTGTACTTCTGGCCGTAACTTTTAAGGATTTCTTCAGTTTTTAACGTCACATTGTTTATGCAGTCTCTAAAACAATACAAGAATATCTATGAATATAAAGATCTTGGTTATTTGTATCTTAAAGGGTTGTGTATACATAGCCAATAACTGACTGACTGATTCACAGCTTAAAAATTTTGCCCCACTAGTGGTGATGATAATTGTTAGCTTTGCTAGTATTTCACTTTTTCGCTTGTTGTTGTAAACATGTTTGAGATAAGTGGTATGGATAGTCTTGTGTCCACTACAGCCCAGTGAATTAGCTCCTTACTTGCTGTGTACAAGATATTAATGCGCTATTTGCTTAACTTTTAAAAGAAAATGTACTAAAGAGCCCTTTTAAACAATTATACCTTTAAATAGGGTAGTGCGTATAGAGTCTTACACTACCAAAGTATTTGAGGCAACTTCAAGTTATTTTCTCCCAATCCACTTTGGGTCCCGTAAATTAGTTTTTTAAGTTTATTTTCATAACTTTGTAAATCAATTCTTAAATCGTTCACAAATTTGTCTCAGAATACAGTTATTTAAGAAGAAGAAACTTAAAGAACAAAAAGGTGTTTACTGTTCATCTTATTTCCACAACTTATTAGTGCTGACAATGAATGCTAATAACTAGTCCCTGTATAATAGAAAGTAGACGTATTTGCACTAGTGTGCTTAACTTGCGCTAATAGCTAACATTTGCAGCTTGTAAATTATCTTAGAGTACACAGGCTTTTAGGTAGCTAGAGCACCACAGGCTATGAGGTGTATCTGGTTCTCCAAACCACGTGTTTACTAAAACCACAAAATGAAATACACTTGGTTGCTCAATTCTATCTCACAGTCCTTAGTTCTAGTAACAAAATGAACACTTTGGATCCCAACAAAAATTTTAAGTTATAGGTTGAATGATGAATACACAGACTTAATACACTACACCTAAATGAACAGTTATTTTGATTCAGAATAAATCTTATACTCACTCTTCAATGCTGGAAACATTTGCTGTGGTGAATGAGTTAGGATCTTGAAGTTTTTTGCTAAGTTCTCCATTGAAAATTAAATTAGATTTAGCAAAGTCCAATAATATAACTCTGACAATTTCACCCATGTATTTTCCGGAAATGTATTTTTCAAACCTGAAATAAAATAAGTTATAGTATCTGGTATATTAGAAAATCTTCAAAATTATTTACAACTAGGAAGGATTTTAATGACTAAATTGGATTACAACATTCTAAAGATTGTTTTCCTCTGTGTTATCTTCGTTATTTAGACATTGTTTGAAGGTACTTAAAAAATGAAATACTGTAAAATTGCTTTTAGTCAATTGGACCTCACAGACTGAGGCCAAGCCGATGTAATGAGATATATTTGAATTTTGAATCAGGTTGATTTAAATACTGTATATGATTTAATAATGCTTTTTATCATTTATAATTATTTATGCATTTTTTTTTTTTTTTTTTTTTTTTGTAGCTGGGGTTACACCCCTGCCTGCCTTCCCATAACCATAGTCACTTCACTCCAAAACCCACATAACCAAACCAACACACAAAAGTTGCAATATATGAGTGACAGCCACTGACAGGTCAGGTGCATTTGCGTTGTTGCTGAAAACGGTGCAGTGTAATTCTAGAAGCTTGTTTAGTTGAAAGTAATAAGTTTCAGGATTATTGTTATAAGAACGCAAGAACAAGAATGGGCATCCACATACAACGAAAGAGGGCTGCCAGGCTGCCACTTATGAAGGAAGGTATGTGTCATATGCTTAAATAATCAGATGATTATTGTTGTTTTTATTTGTTATTGTTTACATTTATCTTTGAATTGAATTAGTTCTAGAATAAAGTTTTACCAATTAATTTACGTGTATTTTGTATATTTTATGAAGATACGTCAATGGCGACGAGTGATAAAAGTGAAACTAGAAAATTAAAACAACAAAGAGGAATCATAAAGTCTCAAATTACAAGGACTTTACATGTGCTGAAAACCAAAGGTTCATCTATATACGATGCTTTGGGCAGACAAACTCTACTGGATGAAACGTGGAAAAGATTCACTTTGTTACATGAAGAGATTATAACAACTACAGATGATGAAGATGAAATTGAAAGAGAAGAAGATTACCGTACAGATGTAGAGGAAACATACCTCGAGCCAAGAGCTTTATTACAACCATTCTTTGTCACTATTAAACAAACAGGAGTAGAGAGGAATGTCTCTAGTGAAGGAAATAATCCGCATAAGTTGAACATACCGAATGTGAGTTTCACACCTTACACGGAAAATGAAACCTTTCGGAATTTCCTAATGCGGTTTAGAAATTTCTTGGACCTAAAACAAATCACAGAGTCAAAAACCAAAACACAACTGTTTCTTAGTACTCTTACACCCGAAATGCATCAGGCATTATGTGACGTGATTGCTCCCGAGGCACCAGGTGACAGATCGTTTGAAGAGCTTTCAGATATACTGCAAAACTGTTTGGAACCTACTCCAAGTGTACTTGCTAACCAAAATAGGTTCATCAGTAAAGTTCAAGATACTGAAGAGGGAATTTCTACGTACGCTCGAGAACTAAAACGTTTGGCAATTGACTGCGATTTTAAGTGTTACAACTGTGAACGTTCAGTTTGTGATATGTTCTTGAAGATGCAATTCATTCGAGGATTAAGAGATAATGAAGTGAGAGTTAGGCTTCTTCAAGAAAAAGGAAATACACAATCATTTAAGGAAGTGGTAGAAATGGCCATTTCTATTGAACAGTCCAAACTGGAAAGTTATGCAATAAAACCTAAGTACTCTCATTATGTTACAGAACAAACTAAGGATGTTAACTATGTGAGTAAACAATCTGGGTTAACAAGTAAGAGTAGAAATGAAACCAAACCGCATATTACCTGTCAAGATTTAAGAGGTAAATGTTACAGATGCGGCAGTACTCAACATAAAGCTGATACTTGCAAATTTAAAAATGAATTTTGTATGAAGTGTAACAAGATTGGACACATTGCGAATGTTTGTCTTACACGCAACAGGGTTAGCAATGCAAGTGAGAACGCTTACAAGTTGAAATCAAATAAAATTGATGTTGAAGATGATAATGACAACGTTCATGAGGTTTACATGATGGGTACACCAAACGTGAATGACAAGTTTATAATTAATGTTTCTATTGAAGGCAAGTCATTGAATATGGAACTTGATACTGGAGCGGCTTTGAGCTCATTATCATACAGTGATTTTCTTAAACTTGAACTTAATAAACGTCTATTCAAGACGGAAGTGGAAATGAGAACATACACTGGAGAAATTATAAGGCCTGTGGGAGTCTGTTTTGTTGAATGCAAGTACAGAAATTTCAGTTTTCATGGGAAGCTCTATGTTTTAAAACAAAACGTAGACCCAATTTTTGGACGTGAGTGGCTCCGAGAAGTCAAGATGGATTGGGCTGACATAAAACTTACAGATACTAACACATCAGAGGAACTTGATAAACTCCTAACAAACTTTCAAGATATTTTCAAGGCAGAAATCGGTGAAATAAATTCAGAACAAGGACATATATAGCTTAAGGAAGGGGCAAAACCAATTTTCGTCAAACCACGACAAGTACCTTATGCTCTAAGGAAAGCTGTTGAAGATGAGCTACATCGACTAGAGAACAGTGGTATAATCTCTAAAGTTGAAAACTCACAATGGGGAACACCGATTGTTCCCGTAAAAAAGCCTAATGGAAGTGTAAGGCTCTGCGCTGACTACAAGGTAACAGCAAACAAACTAATATTAGATGAGAAGTACCCTATCCCTCGCATTGAAGACATCTTTACACACATGAACAAAGGGAAATTTTTCTGCACCTTGGACATAAGTAATGCCTATTTGCACCTTCCAAAATGGATGAGGAATCAAGAGAAATACAAACCATAAGTACTCATTTAGGTTTGTACAAAGTAAACCGCCTAATGTTCGGCATAAAAGTAGCGCCAAGTATATGGCAACGATTTATGGACAAGGTTCTCCATGGACTAGAAGGCACTGTATGTTTCTTTGACGACATACTTATTCAAGGGACCACATTTCAAGAAACTATGAGTCGACTAAAAGAAGTTTTTCAAAGAATTAGACAATACAACTTACGAATGAATCGGGACAAATGCAAATTCTTCAAGAAAAGTGTAAAGTATTTAGGTCATGTTATAGACGAGAATGGCCTTCATAAATCACCTGAAAATGTTGAAGCAATAAGTAAAGCAAAGAGACCCGAAGATGTTACTCAACTAAGAATTTTCCTAGGACTCACAAATTACTACACACGATTTGTGCCTTACATGTCAACCTATCTGGAACCATTAAACAATCTACTAAGACATGGAAAGAAGTTTACATGGAATAAAGAGTGCGAAGATGCCTTTGTGAAGATCAAAGCTGAAATAACCAGTGAACGAATATTAGCTCATTATGATCCGAGTGAAGCATTGGTACTTGCTACAGATGCGAGTCCAACTGGCTTAGGTGCTTGTTTATCTCACAGATATCAAGATGGATCAGAGAAACCAATAGCATTCGCCTCAAGGACTCTCACAAAAGCAGAAAGAAAGTACAGCCAAATCGACAAAGAAGCTGTAGGAATTTACTGGGGTTTGAAGAAATTTTTCGCCTATTGTTATGGAAGACATTTTGTTCTAATAACAGATCACAAACCCCTCGTTTCCATTTTCGATCCTGCAAAAACCTTACCTTTAATGACAGCTTCGAGAATGTTTAATTATGCTCACTTTTTATCAGGATTCGATTACACAATTGAATACCGCAATACAACAGAACACGCTAATGCAGATTTCTTATCTCGATTTCCGGTCACTGAGGTTCCAGAAAATGTAATTGATGATCACGAGCAGTACCTGATAAACCAAGTGGAAGCAATGCCAGTGACAAGAAAAAAGATTGAAGAGGAAACAAGGAAAGATGAAAATCTCAAAGTGATATTACACTATTTAAACACAGGGAAGAGTTTAAAAGAACTTGGATTAAGTGACAACGAGTTTTGCTTAATGGATGGCTGTGTGTTCAGAGGGAATAGAATCTGTGTACCTTTAACATTAAGAAAAGAAGTTCTAAACGAGTTGCATGCCGGTCATATGGGCATGACGAAGATGAAACTTCTGGCTAGAAGTTACTGCTATTGGCAAAATATTGATCAGGAGATAGAAAATTTAGTCAAACATTGTTATTCATGCCAACAGAAACTCAAAAGTCCACCTAAGGAAACGATCCATCCATGGGAACCTCCAAGTGGGCCATGGGAACGTATTCACGTAGACTTTGCAGGACCACTAAAAGGCTGGAGTTACTTCATTGTTGTCGATGCTTACAGTAAATGGGTAGAGGTGATCCCGACTAAATCGGCAACAACTGACTGGTGCTTAAAACAACTAGACAAACTATTTGCAACATTTGGTTTTCCTCATGTCCTCGTTTCAGACAAAGGGACTCAGTTTACATCAACTGTGTTTGAAAATTACCTCAAGAAGTATCAAATAACACATAAAACCATTGCTCCTTTTTGTCCGAAATCTAATGGTCAAGCAGAAAGGGTAGTTCAAACGGTGAAGAACCTCTTACATGCTTGTGGGGGAGGACACAATGAGGATAAGATAAACATGATACTGAAACAGCTGAGGAAGACACACCATTCGGCGACAGGACAATCTCCATACTTGCTTATGTTTGGAAGAAACATAAGAACCGAAATGGACTTAATGGTCGAGACTAAACCTACCCCGCAAAATAAAAGTCAAGTTATAACTAGAAGAAGTTTCTCAAAGGGACAAGGTGTATTGATGAGAAATTACTCAAACGTCTCAGGAGAAAAGTGGTCAACAGGAACAATCGAAAGGCCGCTTGGGCATGTGATGTACCTCGTTAAATCAGAAGACGGGCGGTTATTTAAGAGACACTGCGACCAACTAAGAGCAGCTTAATAGGGGGGAGGATTGTCATATGCTTAAATAATCAGATGATTATTGTTGTTTTTATTTGTTATTGTTTACATTTATCTTTGAATTGAATTAGTTCTAGAATAAAGTTTTACCAATTAATTTACGTGTATTTTGTATATTTTATGAAGATATATCAGTATGTTATTTTGCTTTTTTGAATCTAGCAATCTTTCAACAATTTTAAATAAATAAATCATTTATATTTCCTTGTAAGCTAGTTTAAACTTATGAAGAACTACTACAAAAATTCAAACCGTATACATACGTAAATGAGTTTTTAATTAATGAGTTGTTGTCAACTTGTCTGTCGTAGTCAGTCTTGATGAAGTCTATTGTTCCATTGTCTCCAAACGCTCCCCACTCTGTGTCAATTATGATCTGAAATTATATTTTGTTGATTTAAATACTTAAAAACAAACGTCCAGTTTCCTTATAATCAAATTCATTGCAGTTAAAGTCAATTAAAATAGTATACGGAATGAAAACCATAAATAAACAGTTGTGTGGTGCCAATAAAGTATCGTTGCTCTACTGGCCTTGTCATAAGGTTAGCTCATGTTCATGCCACTTATGACGGTGACACACCATCAATCTTTTCTCCGATCAAGACACCGAACCGAGCAGGGAGAGGGGAGGTGGAAGGGAGCAGGTTCGATAGTGTGTCTGGGGTCCGTATGACAATCCAGACATCGGCATATGGCAATTACCCTTTTTAATTGGTAAAATAGATAAATTGTGGATAACATTTTGTCATTATATACTATGGGTCATGTTGTAATTTTTTCCCTCAAGTTTGAAAATGTATTTTACAACTTGAAACCATTAAATCAATGATATTGTTGAGGTTAAATCTGTGGACCTTATTAAATTATAAGACTTACTCTTCAAACAAACAATACTTTATTTTATAACATTAAAACACATACAAACTTGTACAACTCATAAGCACATTTTTTTTCTCCAACATAACAAGTATAGGCAAGTTGCTATGCCAACATAACAACACATTTTATAAACATGAAACAGTCTTTAGTTACACATAGAATAATAAATAATTGAGTTAGGGTATATTTTGATATATTTTTATATTGCTTCATCAGATATCAATAATGTTAAACTTGAATCCTTATAAATAATACGTGAAGGCGTTTTCTACGAAACACTACTCCTCCGTTAACAATGGACGGATTATTACAAACGATGTGTCAAAATTAAGTATTTTTTGTGTAGAATAGATTTTTTGCCAATTCCTGTAATAAAAGCTCTCGGGCTTTGCCCCACAAGCCATCAAAGTCCCAATGTATTTCTTATGATGAAAAGTTTTTGTTTACTTAAACAGACAAATAATTAGTATTAATTACAGCTGTTCGTAGTTAACACATGATACACACAAGAGCGTTCGTTTTCAGAGTGAGTTCGTTTCCAGTTTCGATAACTGGAGTGGAGTGATTGATCACATTATCTTTGAGTTGACTCTTTTAAGTCATCACAAATTTTATTCGTTTTGAAATAACGCCTGCAATACTTAACAATGGCTCAAATTTGAGCAACAGGTGAACTAGTTATGTAATAATACTTAAATTCTTTCAAAATTAATATTATCAGTCAATTAAAATGATCGTTCTGTTATATATTATTTTATTGAATAAAAATCAATACATATAACTGAGCCCCCTTTTTAGAATATTTTATTTTAGCGACAAGTACCACTCCACTGCACTGCCTCTCGCGCTCTCACTCACACACGCTCTCTATCTCTCTCTAAACTCCCTTTTACCGCGCTCGTTAGAATTTGTCTGGTCTTGGTCTTGATCGGAGAAATTTTAGGAGTAAAATTTTGCTGATATTTACCTCCCTTCTCCCTGCTCGGTTCGGTCTTGATCGGGTAAAAGATCGATACCGGTAGTGTGCCTTTAGTAGTTGGTAAAACATTATCTATTATTAAAATTATTTAATCAATCTTAGATGAAATAATAATTTTCATTTCCCATGTTAGGCATTAGAAGAGGGCCACAATTATACAGCCAAGGGTTGACAGTCAAGGTTATGAATGCATTTACAGCATATACAGTACCTACACACAACGAAGGCCTCCTTTAAACTGTGTTTAAAGAAATCCTTTGAAAATATGTATTCCGTATAACCATTAAGTAATGTTCACACAAGTATTATACAGACATTCTAGTGAGTACCTCTCTCTCGCCATGGCGCTCAGTCTCCCAATGCTGCACTCTGTCCGCTCTCTCCAAGTAACACGCGTTGCTGCCAGTGCCGATGATGAGACCGATGGTGGTGCGGTGATCCAGCAAAGCTCCTTGCAGCAGTGTGCCTGTCAATCAACACACAATCTTTATCATTACTATTCATCTTCAGATTAAATGATAGAGGATGACCAAGTTAAGTATGGTTTAAAACAATTTTAGATTCAGTTTTCACATCACCCATCATGGCTTATCTACCTGAAACAATAATGTGATATCTTGCAGAAGAAGCAAGCTATTGAAATTACTTGTTTGGTTACTAAAACTATGTGATGAATAACTAGGAAGAAGTCATGACAAAAATATAAGTAAACCACAATTTAATAGAAATTTGAGCATTTATTATAGCTATTTACTTTACAAGTGTAGTAAGAGCGTTTTTACATCACGCAGGTGAAGGTTGTGCAACGAGCGGAAGCGAGTTGCATAATTTACCTAAGTGATGTATAAACACGCTCTTGCGTAACGTGTAACGTACAAGATTTTACCTGACCCGACAATATACAGGAGGTTACGAACAATATTAATCATTATCCATTTCACTCATCTTCTAACAGTAACGTTCATTTACAAACAAAAGCTAGGTTAGGAAAATTCTTCAAAACATAACAATAAAATTCAAGAGCACAGCTGATTTCTGGCGTTGAACGTCGTTGGCTCCATAGAGGTATATTTTTTAAGTTAATCACTCAATGTTATTTAAATGGGTTTCATTACATCACCGAGTGAGTTTTTGATACTTTACATCACTCGAGAAGTAAGGAAGTTGTATACATCACGCTTGGGATAGGGAAGTTTAACATGGCGGGTTAGGTAAATTCATTTTATTCATCAACTCAACTGCACAAACATTATCACGCCTAATTATACTATTATTACACCATTACCAATGCCATATTATGCCATTATCACTACATGTTTTGGATTTGAGTGTTTAACGCCGACAAGTCTATTATTTGCAATGAAGGTGTGTTGTTCTCATGTGTTGTGTGAAGATAAAACCTGTGTGTTCTGAATTTGTGGTTTCCAAGTAGACATTAGCTAAAGAAACATGTTTAAAGACTCCTAGTCAGTAGTGACTCACCAGTAGTGTCGTTCAGTATAGCCACCACCTCTACATGGTTGTCTCCTCTCCTCTGCATAGCTTCTCTAAGCAGTCTCACTGTGTCCTCCCCCTCCACACCAGAGGTTGTGAAGCTCTTGGTCCAAGTGACCAGTATCCCTGATGAGAGACTCCTCTGGTGCATAGGGAACGAAAATGTGAAACCTAGATATAAAAAAAAAAGTATGTTAGGCGATGTACAATTAAAGACACTGGGATAAAAATGTATAGTTACTGATTTGATGCTTAGGACTATAGAACACCCACATTTCTCAATTAATATTTTCTGTTTTAGTATGGGCTGGAATTCAATGTGAAGCTGAGCCCAATACAATTTTTAGTGACATACAATGAACACAATTCACCTTTAACGTTTCATTACTATTCATAAGATTGAGTTGTGATGGGTTAATCAGCTAGGAATTCACAGTGGTAAAGGATCAACATGATCAACCGCTATGAGACTGTTATGAGAAGGAAGCAAACTGAACCAGGTCCTTGATCTCAATCAATTACTTTTAGTATACAGTATTTATTTTGAGAAATTAAATTAGAAAAATTAGTAAATCAAACAAACAAGGTATTTTTTTTTATCTGAAAGAACCCTGAAATGCAGAATAATTTTAGTCACAAATTGACAAGGTCGATCCACAAATATTTTAGGAATAGAGTACCGTGCCGCTCTATTCCTCAAAACTAATAATTATTGACCCAACTAATAATTATTCTATTTTACACAAAATAATAATTGGCCATTGGCAGTCATGACCTACCTTCTACCGGTGCCGCATGTGTCCGATGTTGTTTTTATGTATTTGTGTTTTGGCCAATTTAATGTTTCGTGTACGTGTGTTATTTGTGAACTTTCAACCTCATGACGACCATTTCATGGATGGGATAAATCAATGAAACATTGACCCGAGGATGTGTTTATAAACGCGAAACAGCTGTAGTCAAACAACTACAATCGAGGATCACTTGACGGATACAGGTAATTTAAACCTTTTGTTGTAAAAATCAGTGATCCAGAGGCTATAACATAAAAATGAAACTGAGTTATGTTTAATTATAGTGGTTTACCAAGGTCTTACCTAAGGGCAGTGTTTGATCAGCAAGGTTGTGTTCGTGAACAAACGAGGAGATGCATTCAGCAATGAAGTCAAACAGCTTGAGTCCACAGCCTAGCCTGAGTTCATCATCAATGTGATAGTGCTTGGACTGCTCCTTGACTATACGGCCCTTGTGAAGTACCAGGTGAAGCACCCTGAAGTTGGTACCTCCCAGGTCTAGGGCTAGGAACTGACCTTCCTCTGAAAACATAATTACAATAAATACTGGGTTTGTCTGAATGGGAAAGGACCACCTTGTCACCAACATACAAAATAAAAGTAAAAATATTCTAATTTGTGTACATCATAACTTAGTTTTGTGTTTGTTGTGCAAGTGTGGATTCCTTCTCATTTTCTGGCAAGTTTTTGCTATCATAATAGTAAAAACTTAAAAAACCTAGGTTTGGAATCTGAGCTGTTGACAGGTAACATCACCATTTGAATAACTAGACGGAGAATTACCAAAGTGATGAATTACTGAAAAGTGTAGTGATTTTAACTTTTTTATAATTAACAGTGATATAGAGCTACTGATATCAGGTCAGAAAACAAATTCTTATATTAGGTCTATTGATATTTAAAACTAGTTTAGATGCAAAATAATCATTAACTAATTTTTTGGGCTGCAGTTTTCTTTATAGAATCTTAAGACTACTACCATTGACTGTTTATATGCTACTACATCCTGCAAATATTGTTGCTTTTTAACTTGCTGTAGGTGCACTCTAATGATCAGATGGATAAAAGTTGTATCTTTACCAAATGTAGAAACAAATATATAGCCTGTAACGAATTTGAACGGATGGAAAAGTATATTGGTCACAGGTCTTACCATAAGACTTTATGGTAATAGATTATTATACACTATTTGGGAAACTCGCTAAAAGGGGCAAACCTGCTCAAACAACAGTGATACCTTTGGTTGTAAACTTGATCAGTAATATCATTGCAATACCGTATCCCACTTTAAAATTTAATAGTGAAACCTGTTTAACTGTTTTTGTTTACATTTTATATTATCAGAGCTACACTAAATAAATTAACAAATCAACTAGGTAAGTGTAGGGATAGAGTTCCTATGTCATATAACTGGTATGTTCTGGTATGTTTAACACTGCCAATGTGTACAATCATAGATTAAAAGAAGTAGACACAGAAGTAGACACAGAAGTAGATTTAGAAGTAGTGTCTATACTCCTTTTATCTATGGTACAATGTGCAAGGAACACTGTATGTCTTATAATGCAACACTAAAGCACTCACCATCTGTCATGAATCCTCAGGAAAGCACAAAGAATATGTTAAATGAAAGTATTAGTCGATAATTAATAACTATTGTAATAACATCAACATTTTAATCTTTCAATACGGTACCTGAACAATCCCAACCCAACGCTGGTACCTAGGCATAGTGTTTTGAACACAGTGATTTGATAGAGTGTGAATAATATCCACAAAATAATATAGTTAAATATCGTGCAGAAGGCTTTCTGGCATGTTATTTTAACAATATACAGAATGCAATTGCATTAAACCAAAAGTAGTTGTCATAGACGTAATAAAATTATAGCCAGTCAATGGCTTTAATTTTAAATTGATTATCAAGATAGTTGTTTACGGCTAACTTATTTGTAATATTTATTTGTTTGTGCTAAAAAAAAAGTGCTAAAACTACTCATAAGGATTACACTGAACTTATGAAATCTCTTAGGGTGAAGCCTTAAGCACATTTTTGAAATAGAGTGGGTAAATCGTTTGAGGTAGGTAGGTAAATAATTGTCTAACATCAGATTATAAGTGTGGAAGTTTGTGTGTTCGTTTGTTTGTGTGTTTATTTGTTTGTTTAAAGTTCAATCACGCTTTAGCTACTGGTCGGATTGGGCTGACATTTGGTATGATGATAGCTCACATTCCCGATTAACATATAGACACATTCTTATCACAAAAATCCTTTGAGGCTCCGCCCCAGTGGCTCTGGAGTTTCCCATGTTAATCTTATGAGTATTCATATTCAAAAGGGATTAAAGAATTTTGTCAGCTGTTTCAATTACATAAGTTGTTCTATGATATCCAATAGCATTAAAAGTTAATTTGAACCAAGCCGCAACAAAAAAGCTGTGATGCACAATGAGAACTGTTAAAGTATGATTGTTTACAGTTAAGTCTATGTTTTAAATTTATAAATAACTAGCAGAGTACCCGTCCTTCGTACGGGGTTGGCATATAAGTATAAAATGTGTATTGCAGTTATGCTCAAGCTTTCTGTTTGCAATGGGGGAAGGACACAGTTTGATAACATTTGCTTCTTTAAATTTAAGGTATACTATAGTATTACACATCTACCATATAGCCATAATGTTCTACCACTAAAAATAAATTATTAAAAATTCGCAAAATATCACAAATTATTCATGAAATTAAAAACATAAACATAACTGTAATCAATCCTTCTATTACAGTTCTCATCGCGTATCACAGGTTTTTTTTGTTTCTGCTTATATAGTTCAAATTATATTAGCTGTTTTCATAAATGCAAAAATATAGTGCTGCACCCTGTTGCAAAATTTTTTAATCTTTAAAGCTTTTGCATATCATACACAGAACAAACCTTTTTATTTGAAACAGCTGACTAAATATTTTTATTCCCTTTAAATATTAATACTTGTAAGGTTAACATGGGGAACTACAGAGCCACTGGGGTGGAGCCTGAAAGGTTTTTTGAGATAAGAATATGCCTATGTTAATCGAGAATGTATCAAGAATCAAGAATCAAGAAGTTTATTCACCATTAAGTAATACATGATTACAATAGGCTTCATCAGTTATTCATTGAAAGACAGTACCAAGATAATAATAATAACAATAAAATAAAATAAAATAAATATAGATTAAAAATAGTAACAACAAAATAAATAAACAAGACAATAAAACGTTTACAACAACAACAACAAGACATTCGAATACTCATAGTAAATAAAGGACCCAACACTTAGTTTACACTTTAGGCCTACTTATATCACATTCTAAAAATTCCTTTACAGAAAAAAATTTGTGACTAATAAGCCAATCATGGATCTTATTTTTAAATGATTTTAAATCTAACAACTTAAATGATTCTGGAATTTTTGTTAAAAAAATTTATTTGTTGATATTTGTGACTCTTTGCATGTAAGCTATCATCATGCCAAATTTCAGCCTAATCCATTCAGTAGTTAATGCGTGATTGAACTTCAAACAAACAAACACACAAACTTTCACATTTATAATATTAGTAAGATGTTTAAAAAATGTGCAAATATTCGATAATTTACTTTTTTATTGTTTAGGTGTAGTGGTAGAACATTATGGCTATGGTATATGTGTTATACTATAGCTTCTGTAAATTAAAGGAACCAAATTTTCTCAAACCGTGCTTTGGGTTTGCAATGGAAGAGATATTGCAAACACAAAGCATGAGTATAACTGCAAAAAGCATTTTATACTTATACGCCAGCCCTGTACGAAGGACGGGTATTCTGCTAGTCAAATATAAATGCCTAAAAAAATCATGCTACGGCTACTTATGCCTCCAACATAGCTTATTTCCAAACTCGAAGGAATGCAAAACTTTTTCAAATACTGTACTTTTTCAAACAAAACAAAAAGTTATCATCATGTACAACATTCAAAAGCCTACAAAAAGATATGTATGCTGAAGTTTGTTTCCACATTTAGCTAAGCCCGACTGTACCTGTGCCGTCGGGTAACTCCGGGATGTAGGTGTTCTCCATGAGGAGAGAGGAAGGCTTGTCCCGGATGCCCAACTCCAGCTCCTTCAGGAACACCTCCCCAATCCTCAGCACTGTAGGCCCGTCTATGTGGATCCCTTTCAGCTTCTCATCAATCTGTGACAAAAGGCAATGTCAAAGTAGGGTCAGATACTAACCAAGGGATTTTGGTGTTAAAGTTAGAAATATTAATAAAGACTTCAATGTTTGGTTGCATTTTTTTATTGTTTTGTTCCTCTCTCATGGTAGAAGAAACTTTTGCAACTTGTGAAACAAATGAAGTAAAACTTATAGTTTTCAACAGTTTTAAGAACTTAATAAATTAAAACGTTGGGGTATAACAGAAATATTGGTACACTCTTAAAATAAAAAATGATTTGTTGATTTGTCTCAGTATAATTAATCATATTTAACATTTGAACTTAAGCACTGAGACAAAAAGATACCACAAAGTTACTCATAACAATTTAAAAGTATAGAAAGGACCGTTGACTATAACTAAAACTCCAATGCAGTTCAACCATTAAAAATGTATGGTCTTTTCCCTGAATATTTTGAAGTTCCAAGAATGTAAATATTTAAATGAAGAAAGTATGGCAGCAAGTGGAATATACAAATACCTTGCAGTAATTAAATATTCTAGTAGCGAAATATTTGTACCCTACTGTCAGTGTATACAATCTTAATGAGCTATTAAAATGTCAATGAACTGCTGGGTGGATTTTAGTGTTGCACAATCAAAACTCTCAATCTTTTACAAGCTTAAGTAGTTAAACACCCCTTCTAATTATTAAAAAAAATACAAATGTATGCAGTACAACATAAAATATACAAAATAAATCAAGCATGATGTCAACATATACTCAATATTTAAAACAACTAAAGAGAATAAATGTATGATTTTACTGTATTGAAAAGATTTCATTGCCAGAGCAAACACTTTTATGCTTAGAAATTCGAGTTGTAGAAAGATAGATGATTGAATTGCAATTGCATTGCTATTTTCTGATGGTGTATTCCTGGCAATGGATTGTTTGATCCATGACCTTCACTTGACCTGGTCAGTTTGTCCACATCAGTGGGGTTGGCGCAGTCAATTCCATATCTTAGGCTGGTTACCAATCAAATAAAACACTGATCATTGATCATGTCTCAATAACCTGTCATCATGTTCTCTACTAATATCCTTAATAGTTTTATTTAAAACATATGAAAGCATAAACTGGGACTTTAAAATGTAACAAAGTAGGCCTATGTAAATTAACTAATTGTTTTTCACCACACTATGATGTTTTAGATGTTTTACATATATGTTAATTGGTGGCTGAAAGTTACGTTTTGCTCGCCATGCCAGCTGTCATCGTCATTTGGGGACCGAGCAGGTTTTTACATCCCTAGGGCCGCAAAATCAGCTGCCCGCTTACTTTCTTAAAACATGAATGCATATTAAAGACACAATCAGTATCCATATAGCATTGCAATATAATTGATTTATTTTCACCGCTGCCTAGCAACTATCAATTATTGTTATTTTTGCTCATTCCTCAAGTTATTTCTTCACATACCTATCTTTAAAGTTGTAGTTCTGTTGACTGTTAGTGTGCATTATTATTGTGGTGAATAGTGGTAATAGGATATCGTGTGCTGAAAGATAGCGTTCGTACCACGGACCGAAATGGTTTTTCAGCTCTCAAACGTTTTAAGTTACCTATCTAAAGATTGCAGAAACTAACTAACGTAATCATCAAAAGCTGCAGGGTAACAGTCAACAAATTATCAAAACTGATAATAATGTATTCAATAAATTGTATATATGACTAAGTAACATTTAAAACAGTGTAATTTCCAACTGAAATTACTAATATCGGATGTTAAAACTTTTATAACAACAGCAATAGTTGGATTGTTAGATGTTGAGAGATTCGTCTACATGTCGTTTGTAGTTGTGGAGAAGCTACTGACACAACTTAGCCTAGTGATTATTCAAAGCCAAATGCTTATATCAACCAGTCTGTTAATTCTCACCAATTCATGGCCACGACAAAGAGTTCCCATTTGCTTTCATTATACAAGTGCCAATTTCGTGTTTATGAATTGACCTTAAATTGTAACATGTTTATGTAAATTGTACGGTTTTAAAGGTGGATATGGGATTTTGATTATTTGTGAGCCATTTACAAGAAAAGTGCCTCGGCATTTTCAATTGTTTTTAGAGAATTTCCTTTTCCCATAGGCCTACAGGGAATGTAAAATAAAAATGTAAAAACGTCAATCTAATCCAAGTTAACTCCACTTTAGTGAAGAACAAAGCTAAAAATACAGTTATAAAACAAGGGGCACGGTAAAAATGCTGTATCGGATAGTCATGCGTATCCAGTTTATGCGTATTTCATAACGTTAATTTTGTTTTGGTTACTGTATCACATCACATGCTTAGACATTTTTGCAATTATATGATCCGAGATGGTGTAAAAGTCATAGCTTCTAAAATATAAATGTTCAAAACAGTATCCTACAACCAAAGACACTACAAAACATCATCTGAAGTATTGTGTGAGGAAGTCGTATCATGACCGGCGTTTGCACCAATGAAATTCAACAATGTAAACATTAATTCAAAGCAAGTTGGGAGTTTAAAGTCGAGTGAAGAAGGTCAAATATTGTTGTGAAGGATAAATTCTGCTCAAGGTCTGCGCTGGCGTCAACAGCCTGATTAGCGATCGCGCGTCGCGTCGTCGCGAGCTACAACTCTCTGTCACTGCCAAGGCGAGGGCGACACTGGCTCACGTGAGGGACCACAGGCTCCTGGCTGACTGTGAAATAACCTTTAAACTCCCGTGTCATGAACAGAAGGCTCGGATACTTGTTCAGAAGTTCAAATGTAATTTGAATCTCGGCGGGCCTCAACACTTTTCAATGCAAACCAGTATGTTGTTCAAGTTACGTGATAATTCATCAACCCGATGTTCTAATGGTTTGATACATGCGTCCTTGGTGTACTGAACATGCGGTGACGTTGAACTATTTTATTGCTGCGTGATCGGCGTGGAAATGGAATAGGAATGGGTTCAAAATATACTCCAAGGACGTGTGGGGGTAAGGGTGAAATTAACCTCAATTTGATATTTCAAATTCAGTGTTATTTAAATAGGTACCAGTAATCAATACAGTATTTAAAATGTCATACTTTGAAGAAACGTTAATAAAATGCAGCACATATTTTTATATTACTTGAAACCCGCATTGCTGTAGTATTTCCTACTTAGTGAAGTAGTAGTAGATAAAAAGTAAAATTATGTACAGTATTAACGAAAAAAAAACACAAGTACCTTGTTTGGCTTCAAAAAGATTTTAAGCTATCAAATCTGGATCAAAATAAAAGTAAAAATTTAAGTTGAATTTAGAAAGGTAAACAAGCTTTAGAACCTCTAACGCCGCAGTTGGCTTTCTTCCAACACATTCCTCATCAGTATCCAGTCTAGCTAGAGTGCCTCGTGCCGACTGCAAGTCTCTCTCTCTCTCTCTCTCTCTCTCTCTCTCTCTCTCTCTCTCACTGTACTGGACCAATCACTTAACCAGCCTTAAACCAAACCTTATTATGAACGAAAAAAGAGTTTACGAGAGAATAAAGGGTACGTTATTGGCACTGAATAGTAAGATGTTGAATAAGAGTAGGTTTACGAACCTTTAATAGGTAAAATAAAATAAAATACAATTTAATGACAAGGACCTATGCAAAGTCAAGTTCGATATTGGTAACACTTTTCTTTTATTGCTAGGTACTTTTATATCATTGACTATTGGATACTTAATAGTCAAAGGTAATATCGAAGAGAATAAATAGAAGACATGAATTTACAGAAGGAGTAGGAGCAGTTGATTCGCTGCTTGATATGAAAACAAGAGTGAAATACTCTGGTTTTCAATTTCAGTACGTTTTAGGGCTTATGTGGATATTTCGGGAGCGTTTGACTTGACCCTGCAAGGTGGCCATAAAATGACAGAGTGCTGCGAGCATTGTGATGTGTGAACATCTACCGACTGGCAAGGGACTACTTCCAGAACAGAACGGTGACGCTATAAACTGGCAATGGAGAAGTGGAGCAAGATCATCACGAAATGATGTTCACTAGGATCAGTGTTACACCCTTTTGTTGTGGAAGGTCTTGTTTGGAGGATTTCTGCGGTTGCCGTTCAAAAAAATATTCTTGCAAGAGCCTAAATGGACGACAGACAGCTGCTTAAGGCTAACTCGAGCTTTGAGCTTCTGATGCGATAAGGTAATAAGAACCTAGAACTTTGAAAATGATGGCCAAGTGGGTCAATTGGAGAAATTGGCAAGATACAACATGGGTAAAAGTGACCATCCAATGATCGAATAGAACAAAACATTTAGGAGTGGGGATAACAAGTTAGATGAAATTGAGCAGTGATGGTCGTTACGATCAGATTACCGAAAACCCCATGAAGGCGTTCGAAAAGTTGAAGATGTTTGCAAAGTTAAACACCAATGTAAGGTGCAAAAACCTCCGGACGTGGGGGCTCCAGAGTGCATCAGTGGCTTGAGGTTGCGAAATGTGGGGAAAGATAACGAGAGGACAGAGGAGAATATCAAGTTTAAGTCCTAAGAGGAAAATACTGTTCAGGTGGTGTCGAAAGGGCTACAGCACGATGCAGTGAGTGTGATGATTGGAGTAATCCCTTTGTATTTGATGATATTGGAGAGGTTAAAGCTAAAAATTTACAAGGAAGCATGAATAGATGTAGAGAAATAAAAGCAAAGAACACGGATATTCGAAACGCTTGATAATAGGCAACGAAATGGGTACAAGTGAAGAGCCATGGAAGAGAATTTTTGAGTTTGTAAACGCGAAAAAGTACATCAAATGACACATTTTGTGAGTGGAAACTTCAAAGCCAAACTGAGAAGCTTTATCTTGGTAGAAGACGATTGATGTTTGACTGTAGAGAACTAGAGGCAATGATGATCTGGTGGTCAAGACGCCAAGGCACTGTATACTGCAGCGAACCAAGCAAGGTGCACATGGTCCAGTGGTCCAGATTCTTTCCAAAACATTTTCAGCAAGAAGCTATACCAATATAGTTAAAGTGGAGATAAAAGGGATATTAAAAATAGTAAGCGTAACATTCCAGGCTGCCAGTTCGCGGCGCCTTGTTTACATCAGAAACCGGTTGTCGTCGCAGACACAGCGCGATCATCCTGTAATATGTCAGACCGGGGACGCGACAACTTATGTAACGGGTAAATGTGGTGTCAAAGAGTTACCTCAAAATTTTGACTCTCTTTTGAAGTACAGTATCCTTAAACTCGACATGAACTGTGATTGGTCGATGTAGGTACAATCCAATAAACTACATATAACACTAATATTTGTGACAGAGTTTCACAATTGGATACTGCAGCCCTTAGTTGAACGGTCAGATCATTTCGAAGGTTGTAACATAAGTTTACGTGCGTTAATCATGGTAAATTTAAAAAGACATTATCATTAGCATAGTGAAAATTTATTTATTAATTTAGTAAATCTATTTGTATTTTTTAAATACTTTCTTCAACTAACCGTAGGGTTCGCTGAGGGCGATAAACAACAATAGTAAAATGCAAAAAAAGTGTTCATGGTGGTTCAATTCTTCAGGTTGAAACGATTTTAATTAAAATAGACCTAATACAGATTTTCCAACATTTTTTGTATGTAAAAAACTGGCAACACATATCTGTTGAAAGTCTAAGAACTCAGACCTAATCCCAGTTTCCCTGTCATACACGCAGTGAAATGACAAAGTCGAGCTGAAGTTCCAAGAAAGGAAGATTCCTAAAGTTATTAAGTGGCAAGGCCGGGGACTGGATCGATGGTGTCGGTCAGGTATGTTATCTGTTTGTGGTGATAACAACCGCCACTTGACAGATACTGTTATCACTATAGGATCCGCACGGCACGGCTCTTATCACTCCATTGATGTTAAATCCTCGGTGATTACTGTAATTATTGTAATGTAATGGATTACCAGTAATTACATTTGACAGTTCCGGACAACAAAGAACGATGACAGAAGTTGCTTTACACAAACACTCGAGAGAAGTGCACAAATATAGCGGCTTAGTTGCGTTGTATCAGTAACGACTATTATGTATAGTGTCATAAAACACCATCGACTGCTGTATACAGTAGCACAGTAACGATTTCGTGGATAAACAGTTTTACTCTACGTCCACGTTTTTAAATTATGCTGAAATAGCTATTTGTATAACTAGTGCGCGAAGTGGCACTTTTCTGCACTATGAGAAATGTTTTGTGTGAAAAGTTTCTAGAGTGCAGCAAAGGCACTTTGCGCTCACGTTACACATTATATTTTTCCTACAGTTACTATACAACATATAAATAAATAGTCTTCAAAACCTAATTCAACTAATTTATAATTTAACGTTTTAGGTTAGGTTTAATTCAAGTGTTGAACGAAAATAGAATGTTGACATGAAATATGAAACAACAGGTTAAGTCGTAGTATCAAAATTCAAAAGGCTGTGAAACGCTGCATCAGCTAATTGTAGTCGTATTATCTTTAAGTGTTGCCAACTTATTTCCAAGCGTACACGTATTACGTGCCTTATAAAAAGCACACTTTTTTGTGTTGTATGGTTGAAATACTGAAATGCGGCAAACAAAACGAGTGCCGCAAAAGTAAGTAAATGCAGCAAATAGCTACATTACGTGCTAAAATCAGTGCAAGGAAGCCTGCTTTGCCAAGTAACTGTAGGAAAATATATTTAAAAGCTTACAAAAAAATAAACACGCTTTTTCTTTTATGTCAATTTAGAAAGCAATCTGCAACAATAAATTTTCTCTTCAAGTGGAGAATCAGTTTCATGAAGTACAAAGGGTACAACATGTTGAGTTCAGCACATGCATTGTCTCAGTAACCAATGGGTGCAGTATGTACTTTATAAAAAAACCTTTATACTTTTCATCAAAGATAAAAATGTTTGCAATAAAATTGACAAAAAACTTTTGAGGTTACAAACCCCTTCAAAAGAATGTATCGGACTACTTCGTTAACTCATTCAATTAGAAGTTGTTTTTCACGTTTGATAAATTTGTTCGGAATCGAAGAATACTATTTTTACGAGTGTTATCGTATCAATGGAAAAACTTAATCGAACGGTGTTTTTGGCTCTTAGAACAAAACGGTTTAGTGGTCCGAACTTACGTCTTGCCATAGAGTTACAGTAACGGTAATAGGTGTTATAATTTAATGTCAAAAATATGAAACTATATGACAGACTGACCGCAAACTCTGTCTATTCTTGTAGGAAGACAGCTACATGTCAACACCGTATATGTATATCCGATGTCTGTGTGGTTAGATAGGTTACATGGTTAAGGGTTACGCCTGCTCTACTAAACCCACGACCTGTGTCTCCTGATGAACTCTGATTACCTACTTAAACTGTAAAAAAAAAAAAAAAAAAAAAAACTTAAATAATTTATAATGCAGGAGGGTTCCTATACAGTGATAATTAAGTAAAATCTCCAACGATGCATAATCAAGTACTGTAGTTAAAACTAGAATTTCATCAGGTAATTTGACCTTTTTGATAATATTTGCCATATTCTAAAGTCTTTTCAAGGGTTTAACAAAGATTAGTGTAAACTCTCTTCAAACACCAAAGTAACACAATGTAAACCCCTGGGTATGGCGTTACAAAGAAATGCCGATTATCAAATGGAAAATGATGTAAGATCAACAAATGTTTACCTGTGCTTTCTTTTTCTCGTCAGTTATCTTGAGAGGTGACACTTTGATCGCTTCGTTCAGGTTTTTGAGGACAGTCGCCCTGTTGACCGCCATCTTGTCCTGGCCGCCCTATCCTGCAATGAGAGAATATTTGTATTCGTATCTTGTCTAGGATATTACATAGGTAACTTCTTAATTAGCCGTGATCAGGCTACTAGCTCTTCTGGTCACGCTTAGCGGTGCCATACGTCTGGAGACGATAGGTTGAATATGAATAAGAATTACAGTTACAGTAGCCTATAGCATGCACGAATATACCATGACAAACCACAGGTTCAAATTAAATTCTACGTCAGTCAACTTTTCGTAAAATTTAGTGGTCTTCATTTCTTCATCGATCCAACAAAACACAAAGTTCCTACAAACAGAATTTTCAGATTCATAGGAATGATTTCAGTTTTTATTTGTTTAGTGCCTACAGTGAGTATTGATTTGTTGTTGAAGAGTCATTATGCGCTGTAACAAGAAATAATGAAACAGTGTTGTGGAGTGTTAGTGTTCTTTTAACACCCATCGTCTATTAAATTGGTTAAAATGACAAATCTCGTAAACTATCACTCTGAAAAATTTAATGTTGGCTTTGTTGTCTCGCCAACTGATCCGAGAAAGTTGTTTTGGTTAAAGGTTCATGTAGTGGACCAGCGGCTGAATTATCCAGTAACATTTCTTAGAATACATAAAGGAAGCTATGTTTTTAATCTAGATATGAAATTCGTCCAGTTGTTTCGGAGAAATATAGTTTTTCCTAGATCGAGTGTTATGGTTTCGATTTTGTGTAATAGTAATGATTGATTATGATGTTCATAGACTATAATAACTCAAAGGTTTATTACTACACTCCTGCTTTTGTTATACAAATACTCCTCCTGAACGGCTGAAGCTAATCGCACGAAATTTAGCACAGTCATAGTAACTAATCACGGGAAGGTATAAATCTGAAAAAGTACAAATCGGACTACAGGGCTTTTCCCTGCGTGAATATAAACTTTACATGGGCCTTTAGACACTGAACATGTGAGAGCGTTGCAACGCGCGTCCTAGAAACACAGCAAACAAATGAGTGCGTACACATGCAGCGCCAGTGAGGTTCATCGTGCAACGCGCTAGCAGCGCGCTTAGAGTTTCGAAGGTTCTAATGGGACCGTACACATGTGAGCGTTGGAACGCGCGTTTTGGAGTAGAGGGGAGTAGGTTTTGGGTATGTATGTTTACTGTGTATTCTAGATACAATACCTTATGGTAATTACGAGGTCCCATTCTGTTGAAATCCAATCCTTAACAATGCTCTCACAAGGTGCTAGACATACTTTAACTTTCGTTAAATGAAGCTATTAGCATACTTTAGTAAAATAGTAATTAAAAAGCTTACGTTCATATATCCACGATTAGGTTACAAATAATAATAAAAAATAAAAAAAACATACGAGCTAAACTTTCTTGTAAAATTGGATGTCCCAAGTATTCTTAGGGAATTTTCCCCGGCACGGCTACCCAGGAACGCTTTACTTTTTAATTTGTTTTAACAGCACCCTTTTAATTTGTTTTAACGGCACTCGGCCCTGCACTCTCCTGCCCCCTCCCTGGTCGACATTTCTACCCCCATACCCGCCGCACCGTGGAACCGGTCACTGATACCTGGCCGGCACTCGGCCCTGCACTACCATCCAATCCCCATCTTTAATTCATTATCACCTTCACCCTGGTCCTGGCGTGTCGATATTGTTTCAGTCGAATCAAATCCAACCGTAAGCTATAATGGGTTTAAAATAATAGTCTAACCCCCTTACAAGTTGTGGGGTGGTGATGGTGTGATGCAGTCCAGTGTGCTAGTGTGCGTGTGGGGCGCGTCGAGGACCGGCCCCGTTCCAGAACATCTCAATAAGGTAACCTGGCAGAGAAAGCTGCAGTAGGACTGTAATGCAAGGCCGAGTGGTGAGGTTAGACAATTAAGAAGCTAGATACTGTATACTGCAGAAAAACTATCACGGTCATTAGGCTGCGAAAATAGTCGACATTGGCTCAGAATGATCGTTCTGCAATACCAGAACTAGGAGTACTTTGCAGTACCAAAGGTTATTGAATCCAGCTAATACCTTTGCAGTTTTAGGTTAAACACCGGATATTTCAAACACCGTCTTACCAAATATTTTTTTATATTGGGTTGTATAATTCTATTGGAACATATAATATAAGAGGGCCGTAAGCTATGCCCTCCATCGAGTGGTAGGGAGTTATGCTCTCCAAATGAACCAACTGGATGACATTGATGTAACATTATGGATTTAATTTTAACTTGCATTCAATCCAAACTTAAATGAAATCACCAAAGTAGGAGCTGTCCTATCATGACATCTAATTTTTAACACATCGTCGAGTATTCATGGTCGGTTATTATGTGCGAGTGATATCAGGCATTATCACACGTAAACAAAAGCGATAACACACTTCTCCTTGCGGCTGTAAGTGCCAAGTACTCATCGACAAACAATAGTTAGCAGTGCTACCTATTTTAAGAAGTTGTTTTACAATAGTATCACTATTAATATATCTTGGTTGCGGCGGTTTAACCATTTCGAGGTTTAGAGCAAATGAATCTTATTTAATTTACAGTTCATTACCACAAAAATATTTACTTTTCAAATTATGTAAGTCCAAATACTGTAGTAGAAGATAAAGAAAGCTAAGCATTCAATAAATGTTTTTTTGTTTTTTTTACCAAGGATTAGGTTAGGTACGGTACAAGCTTAGTAACCTTCATCAAGAGGCTTATTTTAACCGCACAGCGGGTTAGTTACAGTACAGGCTTGGTGACCTACCACAAGTGGTTTATTTCGACCACACACCAGGTTAGGTACGGTACAGGCTTGGTGTCCTACCACAAGGGGTTTATTTTGACTTGGCACCAGGTTAGGCACGGTACAGGCTGGGTGACCTACCACGAGTGGTTTATTTTGACCTGGCACCAGGTTAGGAACGCTACAGGCCGGGTGACCTACACCAAGGGGTTTATTTTGACTTGGCACCAGGTTAGGCACGGTACAGGCTGGGTGACCTACCACAAGTGGTTTATTTCGACCACACACCAGGTTAGGTACGGTACAGGCTTGGTGACCTACCACAAGTGGTTTATTTCAACCACACACCAGGTTAGGTACGGTACAGGCTTGGTGTCCTACCACAAGGGGTTTATTTTGACTTGGCACCAGGTTAGGCACGGTACAGGCTGGGTGACCTACCACAATTGGTTTATTTTGACTACGCATCAGGTTAGACACGGTACAGGCTGGGTGACCTACCACAAGTGGTATATTTTGACCTCGCACCAGGTTAGACACGGTACTGGCTGGGTGACCTACCACAAGTGGTATATTTTGACCTGGCACCAGGTTAGGCACGGTACAGGCTGGGTGACCTACCACAAGGGGTTTATTTTGACTTGGCACCAGGTTAGGCACGGTACAGGCTGGGTGACCTACCACAAGTGGTTTATTTTGACCTGGCACCAGGTTAGGAACGCTACAGGCCGGGTGACCTACCACAAGGGGTTTATTTTGACTTGGCACCAGGTTAGGCACGGTACAGGCTGGGTGACCTACCACAAGTGGTTTATTTCGACCACACACCAGGTTAGGTACGGTACAGGCTTGGTGACCTACCACAAGTGGTTTATTTCAACCACACACCAGGTTAGGTACGGTACAGGCTTGGTGTCCTACCACAAGGGGTTTATTTTGACTTGGCACCAGGTTAGGCACGGTACAGGCTGGGTGACCTACCACAATTGGTTTATTTTGACTACGCATCAGGTTAGACACGGTACAGGCTGGGTGACCTACCACAAGTGGTATATTTTGACCTCGCACCAGGTTAGACACGGTACTGGCTGGGTGACCTACCACAAGTGGTATATTTTGACCTGGCACCAGGTTAGGCACGGTACAGGCTGGGTGACCTACCACAAGGGGTTTATTTTGACTTGGCACCAGGTTAGGCACGGTACAGGCTGGGTGACCTACCACATGTGGTTTGTTTTGACCTGGCACCAGGTTAGGAACGCTACAGGCCGGGTGACCTACCACAAGGGGTTTATTTTGACCTGGCACCAGGTTAGGTACGGTACAGGCTTGGTGACCTACCACAAGCGGTTTATTTTAACCTGGCACCAGGTTAGGCACGGTACAGGCTGGGTGACCTACCACAAGGGGTTTATTTTGACCTGGCACCAGGTTAGGCATGGTACAGGCTGGGTGACCTACCACAAGGGGTTTATTTTGACTTGGCACCAGGTTAGGCACGGTACAGGCAGGGTGACCTACCACAAGTGGTTTATTTTGACCTGGCACCAGGTTAGGAACGCTACAGGCCGGGTGACCTACCACAAGGGGTTTATTTTGACCTGGCACCAGGTTAGGTACGGTACAGGCTTGGTGACCTACCACAAGCGGTTTATTTTAACCTGGCACCAGGTTAGGCACGGTACAGGCTGGGTGACCTACCACAATTGGTTTATTTTGACTACGCATCAGGTTAGGCATGGTACAGGCTGGGTGACCTACCACAAGTGGTTTATTTTGACCTGGCACCAGGTTAGGAACGCTACAGGCCGGGTGACCTACCACAAGGGGTTTATTTTGACCTGGCACCAGGTTAGGAACGCTACAGGCCGGGTGACCTACCACAATGGGTTTATTTTAACCTGGCACCAGGTTAGGTACGGTACAGGCTTGGTGACCTACCACAAGTGGTTTATTTTGACCTAGCACCAGGTTAGGCACGGTACAGGCTGGGTGACCTACCACAAGTGGTTTATTTTGACCTAGCACCAGGTTAGGCACGGTACAGGCTGGGTGACCTACCACAAGGGGTTTATTTTGACCTGGCACCAGGTTAGGAACGCTACAGGCCGGGTGACCTACCACAAGGGGTTTATTTTGACCTAGCACCAGGTTAGGCACGGTACAGGCTGGGTGACCTACCACAAGTGGTTTATTTTGACCTAGCACCAGGTTAGGCACGGTACAGGCTTGGTGACCTACCACAAGGGGTTTATTTTGACCTAGCACCAGGTTAGGCA